TTTGATTCAGATTGGTCAACATCTGATGATGAACCTCTTTTTCCAGGTCCATCTTCATCGCGACAAGTTCAACATTAGAAATAAACCCGATCAACAATACAGTAGGCATACTTCAACAGCTAGAATCGAAAATTCAAATTTCGAACACTAAATGGACTCTCCTAATATACAGAGACATAAACCTGATATCCCACGCTATAGAAAATAACGACAACGTATTATCCAAAATTCATAATCTACTTTACGAACAAAATCATTCTATTTCCTTTTTACCCGCAGATCTGAGACCACATATGATACCCCTGTACTATATTCAAGCGAGAATTAAAAATAAATTATCCGAAGTCAACCTTGATGTAAACAAACGCGAAAAACGAGGACTTATAGACGGCATCGGAACTGTATGGAAATTCATCTCAGGTTCCCTTGATGCTGACGACGGACAATATTATAACGAGAAAATTAACCGACTCGAGAAAGACGATACCGAAACAAAACAACTACTTTTGCAACAAATCCAAGTCGTGACATCCACTATCAAGAATTTCAACAAAACAATTAGTCAACTGAATCTTGATACGAATGCTTTCAATGATAACTTGGTCAAAATAAAAACATCAATTTCAGAATTAGTTGATAGTGAATCATATTTCAAATATCAACTTGAAATTACGAATCATTGTCAGATTTTACTAGAATCTTATCAGATTATAGAAGTAGAATTAGATAATATTTTGAATGCAATTACGTTCAGCCTTTTGAATGTCTTGCATCCATCAATTATATTACCCAAACAATTACTTGTAGAATTAGAAATCATACCTTCTTATATTAGTCATAATAAGTTACCCTTCGAACCAAGTACATCAAATATTGCTTTATACATGAAAATAATCAGATTACACGCTTTCCAAATAAATCACAGAATAATATTTGCTTTAGAAATACCACTCGTCATACCAAATACATTTGAACTGCATCATAATTACCCACTTCCTACAAAACATAACAATAACCTTTACCATATGATCCTTCCTGAGTCTAAATACGTTGCTATGTCTGAAGATGACAGATCATATGTTGCATTGAATAATCCACAAGAAGACTGTACCAGAACATTACCAGATATGATGTTATGCTACGACAAGATTCCACAAGCAATCTCAGATAGCAGTCCATGCGAAGTTCACATTCTCCGAGGATTAACCACTACCAACTGTCATTCCATGATAGTCAATATATCCGGCTTCAACATCCAAAAACTCAAGAACAATCAATGGTTGATTACCACAGAAAAATCGCTAGATGTCACAATAAGCTGTCCAGACACACCAGTTCAAACATTCATCCTCAGAACAAATTCCATCCTGAAATTATCGAAAAAAATGTAATGCTTACATCGATAATACCCAAATATACACTGACGAAGAATATTCCACGAATTCAACGCAGACTGTTTCCATTCCAATCATCCCATATGATTGCTGCATCCATTTCACAGAAAAACTGAAAATCCCAGATCTTAAGCCAATCCCGATTCACAATTTGAATCTAGACGACCTCAAAGTTGCTGAACACAAGCTCAATCAATTCCAAGAAGAAATCGAACAATCACTACATCAGCCGTTCACACAAAGATATCACAGTGTAATATGGTATCTATGTATAGTCATCACCATCATAATTGTAGCATTTTTCCTGTATAAATGCTGTTGCCGCCGATGCATCCGCAGACGATCCCTGAACAGAGCAGACGATGATTTTCCAGGACATCATGGCTGTCCAACAATAAACAATATGTGCAACTTCACAAGCCCCCGTAGAAGACCATCCATCAATGCAAGATTCGAAGTGAGCACCGAACGATTATCAATTGATCCAAGAACCAGCCGCACCATTCCAGATGATCCAACAACCGAATCACCCAAATCCCACAGAAGAATTTAGTCCAGTTGAAAATTGTTCATTTCAATCACAATTTTCAATCTCAAGGAGGGAGGAGTTATATCCTGTACCAGCCTACAACATTTCATCACCCAGTATATGGATGTTTCCATATATCCAACTGCATAGCCTGCATCGCCTCTTCTAGAGTTATCAAGAACGTGACGCCATCAGCAAGAATATGATACTTTCTTAGAATTGTAACTGCAGGATTATTATCTAGATGTTTCTCAAGAACTTTTGATACATTGATTGTTATTCCATACTTCGAAGACTCAACACGCTCCCAGAGCAACACATGCATGGTTTACTTGGTTTGAATAAATAGTTTTATTAAAATCAACCCTAGACCATCATTCATAATTTGCGTTATATTTTCGACCTTCAATGGTGAATTCATGAACTACACAAATTCCCAACTCAAGAAAATCCTGTGCTAATAGTTTATTCACTCTTTTGGTACATTAAATTGAAGGAATGTTCGGATTTTCAAATAAACCCACCACATTGCAGCAAAGTCAGTCCATGATGAAAGTACAATACACCCACTCCATATAATATCAATACCTGCTCAATAAACTACTAATGTTCTTATAAATTATCATTCATAATAATTCCTAACATTTCTATTTGAAATTTGAACAAATAAATCATGAATATTCCGAAAACGTGAAATCTGACACAGATAATGAGCCAAGATCAAGATGTTCCCGCACGGATTATTTGTTGCATCCTGTCTCTTGATGCTTCTATTCAGCTATTGAATTCGTGAATCCTTGAAAGTCTAGTTCAACATCATAATAAGATTTGAAACTCATTTTAAAATTTCCCAAGAGATTCTCAATCGTTCATGCCATCTATCATCGAAAATGAGAACTCCACGTACCGAGCCTCGCATTCAATAGTTCATATCGAGTGTTGGTCTGACGAAACAATTGAAGAGTGGGCACACCAGAGAAATTATAAACTTCTCAGTCACCAGAACAAAGCAAATAGATTGAAGTATATTATTCCTTTAGCGATGTTCTCGGCGATGTTTCTGCCAAGCAACGGCAATTTACTGTGTTCTTGTTCAGTTCCACTAATGTTATTTTCAAATATGGGTTGAAGAAGAATCAATAATTGCTTCATCATGTTTTCAATTGAAGAGTACCTAATCCTTTTTAGTCCCTTCTCAACACAATGGTACTTGAATCGCGTCAATATCTTCTTTTTGAGAGAATATATATACGTGTTTAAAGAAAGTATGAAAAAAAAAACAATAGGCGACTGAGATTAAGATCGTAGCGCCAGAACGGCGTTTGTCGGTACTACTCTATGGGCCATTGGCGGATTGTTTACATTGTTTGGTAATGGTGTTTATGTTCATTTAGTTTTGAGTTTTCAAACGTCCAGCTTTGTTATTTGTCTATTTTCGAACTTTGTATTTTCCAGCGGTCTACTGTGTTTTGATTGAGGACTATATTATCTCTGTTCAACATTAGATAACATCCCTACCTCTAGTTGAACTTCATATATACCAACATCATTTTTATCATTATTGAACAAGAATTCTCATGAAAACCTGTGTGGGATGTTGATTTTCAATTCGAATATATAGCTGGGATATTCCCCTGATAGTGCATGATATTTTTAAAACAAAATCCAGCAAACTTTTTGGGAATAAAGTGTTCTTTGGAAGGTGAATTTAGGTAAACAGTTTCTACGTGACTTTTTACAACATAATCATCAAAACCCTGATTGATAACATTCTTTACTGTTTAAAAATTCTACTGTTCATGAGTATAGATATAATCAGTTTGAAATTTGTTTTGTTCTTTTACCACCACCTCAAGAAGTAGGTATTATATTCATAATAAACATACATTTGAAAATATACCTATAGGTATGAGTTAATTTTCAGTGAAGTGTAAAGAACAATATCTCATTATGTTCAGACACTTTACACTTTTTCCAATCTTCAAGTTATGAATCCACACCTTTCTCCTACCGATCACTTCCTTGTTTCCTAATTATTAGTTTCAAATACAAATTTAGACTGTCCTGATTTTGAAAGGAATGAAAGCTATACTCGGGATTTTTTTGCTCAAGATGAACAATGAGGTACACAACAATGATGACTCATGTTTTTAAACGTTCATAGAAGTTCTCAAACAAAATTATAGACAATTAAAACACAACTACTTCTCATACAAAATACACGCAAACTAATGTAAACAAAGCAATCAATGGCCCATACGTTAGTTATATTAGACAACGGTAGAGGGAGTACTCCTTAGCATGAATCGCCTATAATTTAGAACCTATAGAGCATCCAAAGGGATGAACTCCAGGGGTTCAAGGAGAATTTGAGGCAATTCTTGAAGACTACTTGAGAAATCTGACTGGATGACACGGCGGTTGTGAGCTGTAATAAACTCGAGGGCATACTCGCTATTGACTAAAGGTCTGGTTTTTCTTTGTTTTTTGTAATTAAGGTTTTTTCCGGTAAGCGCTAAGAAAATGAGATAGAAATAATAAGTTTGATCAATTCTTCAAGTTGTTATTCAATGAGTTTATGTAGGGTTCTGATTATTGTTAATCAATATTGAAAAATGCCATACTTTCTTGAAACACTCCTATCTTCTCTTAAATAAGATATTGACGTGAATCGAAAACAATTGTGTTCGGAAGGGACCACACTAATTCGAAGCATAATGAAGCCACGTTTAACCACTCAATTCTGCCACAAGGCGTTAAGAAGTTAAGAGTGAAATGATAACTTTTGTTTTTCCCTGTATAATGATCAAGTCATCAGCTTTCGACGTAAACTAATATTCAGGCTAACATTTCGGGTAATGAATCTACGATTTTATCAAAATTTCACAAAAATCGGACAAGGATTAAAAAACTTACAGGATGAACAATTTGGGGAAATTTTTAGGTGGCCGTTTTTTTGCCGATGAGTATTTAGTTTTTCACCCATCTGAATATTCTTTGTTAACATTATTTTTTCTGTATACTATTGTTGAATAAGCAAACAAATATTAGAGCTCAGCAAAATATTTTCCTCATAGGAAGAAGAACTCGCCGACGCGATCCTCGTTGTCCTAGCGAACAAACAGGACATTCCCGGCTGCATGTCCTTGAAAGACGTCCACCAAGCCCTGGGGTTGGAAGCGCTGAAAAACAGGACGTTCCAAATCTTCAAGACGTCCGCAGTGAAAGGCGAAGGTCTAGACATGGCGATGGAGTGGTTAGCAAACGCGCTCAAAAATCGAAAATAACACATCCTTAACAAAAGTTTTCTAGTCCTGACACACCGCTATGCCTCGATAAGAGGGGGTTTGTAAAACATATTCGAAAACCTCGTATTCTTGAGTTGGGGAAAAGTGGAAACTTTCATTTAGGGAGGGATATCATTATTTGTTGAATGTGCTTTTTTTTCGGAAAATCCACTTCAGCTTTAATTTTTCAGCAAACATGGAACGTGACTGACATCTACATGATTAACATCAGCATGATTGTATAATTTTATAATTATTATTGTTCTCCCGCAGTTTGTGATGTTGTCATGAATACTACTGAATTTTGATATACAATTGAGAAATTCATAACGAAATTTCAATGTCAGACTAAAATATCAAAAGTATATATTTTCCTTAAAACGACTACACCAACTGTATCAAGTGGAAACCAGCCCTACATGGTCCTTCGAGCAGGATTATATAGGATTTTGCCTAGAGAAATGTGGGGCTAGTTCCCACTTGATACAGGTAGTGTAGTTGTTAAATAACAAAATTATATATTTTTGATATTCAAGTCTGACTTGAAGGTTCTTCATTAGTTTCTTAATTGCATAACAAATTTGAAAAATTGAAACAATCAGACCAGCAAAATTACGTATATACCGATCTGATGTACTATGGTGCTCCTAAATTAACTCTTCTCCTTGTTTGACTGACAACAATGTTGATGGGTTTAGGAATGATGAGCAGAGTACCTAAAATAATGAAGAAGGTTTTCTACACATTCCTCTGGAGGTAGGTTGTTGTCTGTCAGAAAATTATAATTTCCCTAGAGTATGACGCCTCGGAAATTTTTTCAAAGAATGTGTTGTTTAAATAATTTGATAAAGTAGATTATATAATATTCTAATAATATTATCACACCATTTTGTATTAAATTATACAGGTACTTTTCCATACTAAAGACTAGGGTACCCTTATTTTTTTCACAAGTTGATATAAATCAAATTGTCTTATGAAAAACCAGGTATAATGAAAACAATACAATAAACTGATTCATTTGTTCCCTCCCATGATGACAATTTAGACGCAAACTAAATAAGCAAAAATGTGAATGTTACACAGCAACAAATTTATTCATTTAATTTGAAAAAAAATCCTAATATTAAAATTTTGCAAGAAAGATCTGTCTAAGCGTTTTTTAATAAGCAAAATCGAAAAAATCTATTTTTATCTCAAGTTGTGAAACATCTCAAAGCCAATCTTCTCCTTATAGAAAGTTTCCATATTTTCAACTATTGGTTTATTTGATTATTTGTGTAAATTATTATCTCAAAATTCGGATTTTATTAGGTATTTTTGTTATACAAATGTATTAGTCATGCATGTATCAATATGTCCTAATGTATATACGGTGTTTTCCAATCGGGCGGCAATATCTGGATGATTTTGATTAATTATTTTGGTATCTTTAATTCTTCACTGTTCTTCACAAGAAGGTCATAGTTTATACTTTGTAGAGCACTGATGTTTTATCATTACCAAAATACGTTAGGCGAGTTTCACTTGATACCTATATTTCAACTGAAAATTTCCCGGGGAAACAATTTTTTCTTTGAAATTTTTGTTAACATCAAATCTATTTAAATGATTGATTCGGAATGTGTTGTTCAAATGGTGTAGACAAAGTTCTTTGATGGTTCACTCTTTGAAAAATATTGAATTTTGATCCCAATGGTTTGTCTCTGTACTTCCAATTATTCCAAATATACGCCGGGTGTAATTCTATGTTCATCTTTTTTATTTGTTTCTTGTCATAAATGGCTTACTTTGCAACTTTTAATTCCACTTCATTCCATGTTGTTTTGTTTTCTTCTAATAGGTATATTCTTCAATGAAAATTTCTTCTATACTGATAAATTTTGTACATTTCATTAGTTATAGAAAACCAATATAATTTATTGAAGTATTATCAATTCATTCAATTGCACATTACCAAGAGCACATTTTTCCATTTTTATTTTCAGGTTAAAATCTTAAGCAAAAAGTGGATACACATATTAGAAAACGAAATAACCGGACTCCAATGAAAACTAAAACTCGTTCAGTGAAATGAATAGCACTGGAGTTGAGTGTAACACATAACAAACTTTTATTTATTGCTCTCTTCATCAAAGAAATGATATATTAATAAAAGCGGTGAAATTGCAATCGTAATGACAGCATTGACTGATTGACTTATGACACTCATAACAGTTTTGATCGCCTGAGTGGTGGTGGTTGGAATGAAAGTGGCTGCTGCTCCAATAGTAGTCACCAGGGATAGTAAAGATGGATATGGTGACTTGTTTCAGAACAGCAACGATAACAGAATAAATAATATTATAAACGTCGTTAGCCGTTGAACAATCTTAACGGACGGAAGCTATTAACATAAACTTTTCAATTGTCATCTGAATACTGTTGAATCAAATTAACAGTATTGGATTACAAAAAATAATAAACAAAACGTGATAACCAGAGGTACATATATTCATCTGTCACTAAACATAAAACAGCTATAAAATGGATAAAATATTCACACTAAATATATCAACTGATAAATATCACATAAACCTATTATCCCAAATAAACAGTGATTATTCACATTCAATAGTTCAAGTTTGAAAAAATACTATTCTTCATTTTAAAGATTTTTAGAAACTTTTGGATATTATAGAAAGAGTAATGAAAGAGAATTTGACTTCTATACAGTTTTGGTGATAAAAAGTATCATAATGTCGAACATACTATGACAACTAAAGTTAACAATTCGAAATACTTGTGTATACATTTTCTGAACAAACTTAATTTTTTGGTAATTCCTGTTGTCTTGTTAAGCACTGAGACGTAAGAGAAGCAAAACGCGACAGGTTGAGAAATATCATTAGTACAATTTCAGATTCTACTTTACCAATCAGAATATAAAACGTAAACAACAAAACGTAAGCAATTAGGTTGTGACCTGCATTTTACAAATCCTTCGTAGTTCAATGAATGATATATCGCGTCTCCTCGGGATAATAGATGACAGGCCCCGCCCCTTCCTCAACTTATCGAGCAGTCAACATCCCCGTGCTTGGGCAGGCAATCCATCGTGACGGCGACAGCGCGCGTCAAGTAGGTCATGGTGCCGTAGCAGCCGCTGGGGGCGCTGTCGTAGAAGTGCTGGCAGACGTAGGCGGCGCCGCCGCAGAGCAGCCCGCCCGATCGCGTCGTCTCGCGCAAGTCTTTCGGCTTGCCGCAGCACAGAGTGGCGTCTCCGTCGCATTTCATCTGGAACAGAAAGAGGGGGGGGAAGAAGTTGATGATATTAGTGACTTTCTAATAAGAGTGATGAAATGGAGAAGTTTCCTATATTGAGCTTCATTCGAGATATTTCAATGCATAAATAACAATACCATAACCTGTGAGAATGAAGCCAACTACCTTCTGCATTCCTGCTCCGAGTGCATTTGTGGTTGTGTATGTTTTTGTTTACCAGTTTTACTTCTAATATTCTTCACCATCAGCTATTATCGGTCGCCATTCTGTACAGCGTGGACATAAAACTGGAGAGTTCCGACCTTATTTTATGAAAATTCATTTGAAGGAAACTTCCCCAGTGTTACACATTTTGATTGGTCAGACCTATAATATGAAGGTGCAACCACCTGTCTTGTGTTCTCCATTCAGTTCTACGCATTTTATTCAACTTATTCAATGCTTTGTCTCTGTTTGTTGCTCTTTGGACACAAAACATCCAACAATCAGACATAAAATTCAATACGTCAGTACCTTGGATATTAACTATTAAAATCCGCCTTCCTAACTCTCAGATTATTTAGATGATAAAATGAAAATATCAAATATCTAAACGTAACATCAGGTGGACACTTCGAAGGCGCAAATTCATTATGACATGGGAAATACATGAGAAATTCTAGAAACGGCAGCCATTTGGAGTTTTTTTGTCATGGACGAGTGAATAATTATTCAAAACCGATAATTCACCCTGTATCTCCGTTATAAAGACTGCGAGACTTACTAAGTTCTTTCGAGCGATTTTCTAACTATACTATTTCAACTTCAATTTCGGAAAAAGTAATCTCGATTTCAGAATTGGTTAGTTCGATTTCAGAAATGGTAAACTCAATTTCAGAATCGGTGAGATGAATTTCAGAAAAAGTCCATTCAATTTCAGAAATGGTAAGTTGTATTTCAGAATTATTATTGGTAGGTTCAATTTCAGAAGATGAAATCCTTTTATTTGTTTGAAATGTTTTCAATTGCAAAATAGAAGGTTGTCTACAGTGGATGAACGGTGTTTGAGAGCCCTATGTTGAATCAGATTGAAAATATATGGGGTGCCTTCAAGTCAGAAGTGAAGAGCTTCTTGCAAGAGCATCGCCAAAAGGTCATAGCTGGGGATCCGAACAGCTTGCTCAACCAGATAGAATTCAGACTGCGATGTCTTGAGGAATGTGCAGATTATTCAATGAAAATGATAACACCTCAAATGTGTTTGCATTCTCATAATCATGTGCAACGCTATTATCTTCCAGCGATTCGGATGGAAGGCATCTGTGGATTAAATTGAGATTATAATTATGTTATTGAATTGTTTTTGACAAGTTGAATATTGTAAATATGGTTTGTTAATCTCCCATACAGTTGGAAACATTTCGAACAAATATGAGGTTTTTTTTTCTGATATTGAACCTACCAATTCTGAAATACAACTTACCATTTCTGAAATTGAATGGACTTTTTCTGAAATTCATCTCACCGATTCTGAAATTGAGTTTACCATTTCTGAAATCGAACTAACCAATTCTGAAATCGAGATTACTTTTTCCGAAATTGAAGTTGAAAAGGTATAAAATATATATCGAATAATCATGATTGACACTGGTTTCATAATTTCAATACTCTTCAAATTGACATACTTTCATCTTTCTGTTTATGATTGTAACGATGAGAATTGGAAAACAAAAAGCATCAAACTGAATCCAGCTTTTCCTCCTCTTCACAATTCTTTCGATGTATTGTGTTAATTATTAAATACAGTGTGTTATTTTAATATTTCGAATAAACGTAAATTTTTCCTGAAGCCGAACCTGGATTTTCACTCCGCTCGATAGGTGAATGAATTTAACGTCCCAAGTATAGGCTCCTTATCAAATTTGAGAAGAATATACTGGGTAGGTCAATACATATAGACGAATGAATATTCTATCAAATATGGTATTTTCAAAACCACCTTGGTGACCCCTATCTACCATTGAAATATTTCCCTTTACCTGTGAAACACCCTGTAGAAACGAGGAGAAAAAGTCCCAACGGATCAAGTAAAATCAATAGTTATACAAACGAAAAGAATTCGTGAAACATTTCAATATGACTAAATACACACATATGGATATACATATAGCTAGTTCCTTATTGCATGTAAAACTATACCCGAGTGATAAAGTTTATTTTCCACCTTTTGCTGCAATCACTTTTCACTGATAAATTGTGAATTTGGTCGAGATTGAAAACGCCATTCAATGATATTATATCACGCTGCAATTAGCTTGATTTCCTCAGTTTTGTTCTCAAATTTTTAATTTTATTACATAGTTTTGCAATCTATTCCTCTTTCTCTATGATATTTTTGTTTAGCAATTCATGTGATGATAATATTGATTTTTTTATAGTCTGTTTTGTAAATCAATGAAACTGCATCAGATTCTCTCAATATACGGACCTTATAAATCTTCAGTTTGGAAATAGGCCTAAAATATAGTTTCATTTTAATCTGCTGTTATAAGAAGTGAATTTTAATGTATGTACTTCACAAATGTTTCTAGTCTCCAAATTAATTTTCCATCCAGGCCGTTTATTCATGCAATCCTTCCATAAGAGAATGGGATTGATATTTCGCTTGGAAACTTAAAGAAATGAAATCGCCATTCCCTTCAAAATTTCCGCAATTCATTACACAGCAGGACATTTTCATTTATGCGTTTTTCTCAATAGTTTATTGAATTATATTTCAATTTTGACGTTCATAAAATGTATTGTCAAATCCAAAACAATTTCTAATGAAAAAGCGCGGAACGACTATTCGCGAGATTCACGAAGTGGGCGACATCTAGGTTGCATAATACGAACTTCAAACTGGGGGAAAACAAACTGTTGTCTATGGATAGAGTGCATAGACTACATTGCATTCAGCTGGCTGTAGCTGTAGTCAAACTTGTCAATGACATGAAGTGTTGGCACTGTTGGTAGTGATGATGGTTGAGTTGGTTAATTTTTTTACATTATTACATTTTTATTAGTTTAGTGAACAGTGAAAGCGTGAAGAATTGGAGATCGTTCAAACAATTCAAACTAATTATGACGAGCAAATCAATTGACATATAAAAGAACAGCTACAACATGTTTACAATACACAGATAGTCCTGCTTTGCATAAACAAATACAAATCAATTGTTCTACAGGAGTTCCTCTGGACCCCAATTTTACTTCATGTGGGGAAGATTTCATCGCCGAAGTTTGTAGACGAAGTGCAAAAATGTGCCTTTTGTTGAAGTCTTCTGCCTCACACAAAATCACATGATTACGGAGAACTGCTTCTCCTTCCACTATTGGTCGGCTTTTTCCATCTAAATAGAGCAAAATATCTGCCAAAAGAACATCTTCAACAGGCATTATTAGCGTTTTCGATCGAATATTGACAATTAATGTCAAGAAATTTAAAAACATCACTCTTATCAGTACATAGTACACAAGCTAATGGCACTAATGGGATTGAGTGAGGGTTGAGTTTGTTTTCCCCCAGTTTTGACGTGGCTTTTGACATGGAACGATGAAAACCGAGCGCCATCTGGTAACATTGATTCCCGCGAATAGTCGCGTTTGTTTGTGATTCTCTGGTGTAAGAATTGTGTAAGAATTGTGTAGGAACGAATAAAACGGCAAAAAATGAAGAATTACATCGATGTGATGACAACCGTGTGAAAACCACCTGCAATCAGAATGACTTAATAATCATCAATAAAAAACATCAAAGTTTAGATTAGATCAATTTTTTTATCTTTCGCATTGAATCCATGAATTGATGATACATATTGAATAATGGTTTTGGTACATACATGCGGGCTGTGGGGTAGGTACGTGGGATTTCTAACTATGACTATAATCAATTATCATTCCCTAGACATTGGTGTTATTCGATGTTATCAAATTTCCGATAGTACCTATATATGAATGGGGAACATTGTAGTGAATCATGCAGTGAGCACCATATTATGGAAAATGCATTGAAACTCATATTTGTTACCTGTCTAGCGACATTCTTCATGAAATTATGAATTCATAAGATGACAAAATTAAAATCCAGGATGATGAATGTTTCATACTGACCTTTTTCAGAATATATGTAATGAAGAAGTCGATAAAATTGAAAATTTTTATGAGATTGTAATACCAAGATTCTATACAAAGACGTTTCAGGGCCTTTTCAGATTGACTTCTGAATACTTCCATGCACATTTTTCCTCCTTTGTTGGCTCATCTTTTCCATGAGTAGGTACCTACCTATTCCCTATTCCGTATCTATACTATTTCTATTCTACAAAGTTTTTAACAAAATTATTATGATGTATGTCAAATATTCTTATTTGTCAAACATTCCGCCACGCATTCGATGTTCTGAGACCAAATGTCCAGTGCCACCAGGATGATAAAAAATTTCCACAGAATAGACAATAAAACGGAGATTCTGTCCCACTGGTGACACTAACAATGCTAATAAAACGCAACTAATTATGCTGTTGTCACAATGCACGGTGTGCAACTTGATAAATCTAAACATTCAAAAACACTAACAGTTGTCATTTCTGTGTCCCAACTCTTATCTAACTAATACCATCCAGTGACTCTAATCTCGTATAGCCAATTACATATTTGTCAATTGTTTCTTGGGAATAATAAAGATAATGGTGGTAGCATTGAAATGACTTTCGATAGTAAAAATCAGACAATCACGGTCTACTGACGCATACGAAATGAAGAAATATTCCTCTCACCTGATCGTCCAGAAACAACTCGTTGGCCGCATGCACCAGATACTCGACTTGGATGATCCCGCCCAGCGAAGGCACGACGTTGTGCTCGGACACCAGCGTCAGCACCATCAGCGCCTCGACGATGAGCTGTCTGTATTCGGGCTGCGGGATCGTGTTGAGAACAGTTTCGACTGCGAGAGCGAACTTTAGTTCGCCGGAGGTCATCTCTTGGGTGAGCGTTTGCGGCAGCACTTTGCCAGCTATGTCGATACCGTGACACTATAATAATAATAATAATGATGAAGATGGAAAGCCCTAATTTCAATGGAAAATGAAAAAACTCCACCGCCCCGTGTGAGAGTCGAACTCACAACCTCTGGGTTACATGCCCAACGCTCTGCCAATTGAGCCAACGATTCAATGAAAATGTTTTCATTATTTTTACAAGACTAGCAGGCATGGCGATAATGATTCAAGAAGGCTGTGTCAAGTCTGTAGTTTGACCGGGCACATACGTTCAGCTTCAACTCTGACCATCCTGTTTGGGAATATCGGTTATGTTTCAAACCTGCCCACAAAGTTACCACGGCAACTTTTGATGGGAGTCGAGTCGAACATTGACCATTCTGGTATCACCACTGTGATTGAACGACTGACTCGACACAGCCTTAATATACTGGACACTTTTGTTTTGACGACTTTAAATATTGAGAGTAAGGACCCTCTGAAAAGCAATAACAGTCAGACATAACCACAAATAGATAGATGAAAAAAGCAGGAACTGACAGTACACGAACGTGCATGATATCAGCAAATTCGAAGGTTTGTCATACTGAGAACAAATTGGGATAATAATAAGATACAAAATTGTGCTTGGACACCAGCGTGAGCACCATCAGAGCTTCGACGATGAGCTGCCTGTATTCGGGCTGCGTGATCGTATTGAAAACATTCTCGACTGCGAGAGCAAACTTTAGCTCGCCGGAGGGCATCTCTTGGGTGAGCGTTTGCACTTTGCCACCTATGTCGATATCATGACACTAACATTCTAGAGGAGAATTGGATATTTGATCTAACGACAAATATCCGTGTTTTCGAAAGTTGGCTGAGAATATTGTTACCTGTTACGTGTTGTGAAGATATCGAATGTGATTATTAACTAAGGCATAAAATTATATCAATGTGATTATTAACTAAGGATTAAAATTATATCCGCCGAGGCTGCAGCTCCCTACTATTTCAAGAACACAGTATGATGTTTATTCCCAATAAAATTGATTCATATACAATACATGATTGCAAAACATAAATGAGAATAAATTGAGAGATAAATATGAATGAATTCCACAGAAGTATTATACATACTTGTTGGTAGAAAATAAATGTCAATTATGAGTGAAGTATATCAAAAACTGATGAATTGTTGGTTTTTGTAATTAGGAGTGAAAATGCAACTTCTTGGACCCTTCGTTTTTCAAACTCATTATAATTGACATTTGACAAATGACACACAATTTGACAACAATAATTAGCACATGATGTCTCAAATTTCTTCAAATGAAATATAATCGATTCTCTAAACTTGATTCCAATGTAAAATGTCACACATTTGACAGATCTCAACGACAACATCAAACATTCACGAACAAGCTACAATTTCAAGCCAAAAAACCATTACATCAAAATATGCGCCAGTAGTGAAAAACCATATAAATCAGGGTATTTGAAAATTATTCTGATGCTAAATCTCCTCAGAAACTACTACAGTTTGGCTTCTGATTCTTGATATATACCCGAAGAAGGTATTTTGGAAGCGCATATATCTAGTTGTTATAACCGGGAGAGCACAATTATTTCTTCCCCCTTTTGACAACCCGGGGCACTCAACTAGGATATATCTGATTCTGCTCTTCAAACAATCATCAATCATCTCTGAAGCTTATCATGGAATCATTTCTAAAATACCACGTCTTTCTCGATATCATGGTCGAACCATATTGGAGAGATCTATTATTCCTTAATGTATTCTGATATTCAATATTTGATATCTGTTTGGGGTACGGCTTTACAATGAATTACCAACAAGACTTAAAAAAAAAGATCTGTACCAAAAAATTCAAGCAAGAACTTGAAAAAAAAAATGTATTCGTCTGAATTTTGTCATGTCATCCATATAGAGATGAGATCATATAACATCACTTATTTCAATGAATCATTCACTCTAACAAGAATCAGCTCAACCTCTGAGAATTACTAGAATAAATATTATACCTACATTATGGTTTATTTTTTAATGTTCCCTGTTATAAACAAATACGTCAATTGTTTCTTGGGAATAATAATGGTGATGATGATGATGATGATGATATCTTTGTAATACTATAAAAAATGAATGAATGAATGATTACTGCAAAAAAACTCACTTTCTCAAGTATACCCCATACTCTTTGGTAAAAATCCCTAGGGACTCGGTTTAGTGCACCGTCTAGTCTCCTCCTTCTCAGCCACTGACCTTGTTTATCTGATTCAACAGAATCATCCGCCATGATGTCTGATGAAAGACTAATATGACTTTTCTATAATGAAAACAAAAAAACAAACTGTCATAACTTGAAATTATTTGATTTATATTCCTTTAATATCAATTGCAAATTATTGCATTCAGCAAACCATCAGTAGTGAACTCTTGTTAGAGGGGTAAAACTTTTATGATTCAGGGATTGGCAAACTTTGTATAACAAATTAATTGTTAAGTTAAGACTCACCTTACTAATGCGACTAGATTTATTCGTGACAATTGAGAAGTTTCCTCTTCCAACTGAAAAAAATAACAAACATAAAACAAAGCATAAAACATGCCAAAGTAATGGGTTCCTTATTTGAATTATTCTGAAGTTATAGTTTAGTCTAAGTTAGAGTCACTGGATGGTATTAGTTTGATAAGAGTTCGGACACAGCTGAACTTTTGTCCTTTTCTATTTTCTATAATACAATGGTTTAAGTGAATAAAAGAATAAGACATATATTCTGCTCTTTGTCTTTTCAATTTCCCTAGTAGCGCCTGATTGTCAGATACGATTTTAGAGGTTATATTTTCTGTCAAATCAATCATTGCCGTAGATGGACAATGGCTATAGGGTACAAACACCCACTTCTAGCAGAACAACTGTTATATATATGAAAAGAATGCATATAACAACACTTTAATATTAGAAAAGATACACATATGCATAAACTTATAGCTATAATTCCTTATTGTATGTAAAATTGTACTCAAGTGATGAGTATAAAACATTAACTTATTTATATTAAATTAGAGGTAGGTATTCTCAATATACAGGAAGTGACATGAGTACTTTCAAGTGGAGTATTCCTGAAACAACAGTCTATATAAGCTTTTGTGTTCGGAAATGCTTCATTTCGGAGATACAGGGTGCTGAAATACAGAGAACAAATCATTTTTCGTTAAATATTTGATAGGAAAAAAGTGGTTTATTTTGACGAGACCTACCAAATACTTGGTTTTGTAAAGTTCTCAGCAACTCCACTTAGCGCCCTAGGAGCTAAGTAACATGGATCGATATAGAAAATATCTCCAAAACGATGACGTCCAGCGTGATTAAGGCCCTTATAATAATTCCCTAGATACATATATAACTATTCACTTTTCACTGTTAAATTTTAAATTTGGTCGACACCAAAAACGCCATTCACTAATATATCACTTTGTAGTTTACATGCTTTTTTTAGTTTCGTTTTCAAATTCTCAATTTCATTATGTAATTTCGCGATCATTTCCTCTTTTCCATGATTATTTTGTTCTGTATTTTGTATGATGACTATGATGATAATGATGGAATTTTGTTCTCGAATTCGCCTGCTTTGTAAATTGATGGAACAGCAGATTCTCACAAAAAGATTTTGAAATCTTCTGTTTGAAAATGAGCCTGAAATATAGTTTCATTCTAATCAGATGCTATTATAAAAAGTGAATTTTAATGAGTACCTCACAAATTTCGCTCGTCTTCAAATTGATTTTACACCCAGGCTATTTCATATCTTCCTTCCATAAGCGAATGGTTGATATTTGTTTCCGAAAATTGAATAAATTATATCCATTTTTTTCAGAATTGGCACAATTTATTACACAGTAAGTAATTCCATAGCTGTTTTCATCTCGAATGTATACCTAATTATGAAATTTTATTTCAATTCTGACGTTTATGAAATGTATTGTCAAATTCAAACAATTTCGAATGAAAAAGCGCGGGACGACTATGGTGCTCTTGTCACAATGCAAGGTGTGAAACTTTATAAATCTAAACATTCAAAAACCCTAACAGTTGTCATTTGTGTCCGAACTCTTATCAAACTAATAACATCCAGTGACTCTAGTCTAAGTAAATATGGAAACAACAAAGTTATCTTCAATTAATTATTGTATTGGTTACTTATTTAAACAACTCTGAATTTCCAGAGTTTCCTTATCATTATTTCGTATCAATAATTGCGCATGAACATGCAAATCCTCTTCAAACTGTTCTGGGTCACGTGGACTAATAGAAATGGGCTCACGCCAAAAGTCGATAGTGGAAGTCGATTTCAAAATCAAAATCTAGTTTTCCAACATCCAGCTAATAAAAGTGTAATAATCATCAAAAATACTTTTCTCTTTTTTTGAATTGACTCGGCCGTTACTTGATAAAAATCCATGGCAAATGTAAAAACTTCACAAACGATAAGATTTCCACAAAATTCATATACACACAACATGTTTCGCTAACACAGTAGCTTCGTCAGGTGATATACTGGTACAATGAACTAAACCAACGTTGGCTTGCTTAACTTTTATATATCCTACTTTCCCAACGTGGAGGATTAATTACCTGTGGACAGGATCGACAAACCTCCATTTTCGGAAATTAGGCACAATATCTACATTACATACCGGTATACCGTAATTTAATAAATAAATTTTATAAATTAAATTATTATGTCTTCAGTGATACGGTACTGTTTAGGTTTCTGTTAAGAATATGTCTGCACTCGTTCTATGAGGGGTACAGAAAAACTCATTTCATCTCTTTTAATCAGAATTTGTGGCACAAACCTAAAGTGTATTTACTTTTTTTATATTCAAATTTATAATATTCAATTTCTATTTGGGGGAGCACAAATATTTCACGCCTCAAACCACTAATGAAATCACCAAACAAATCAATTAAGTGCATTTTTCATCTAAATTTTCTAGAACCAATAGTACATTTATACAAACCAAGAACATTTCTAAATCTGATTTCATTATATAAATTCCAAATATGTTGTTTTATTCATGTTGTCAGGAATAAGTTCAAAATATCTAACTTAGCATTTAATGAAATCAATACAGTCCATACTTATGGGACTAGACAATGAAATTACTTGATAGCAAATACATTCAAGTCGAACATTGGCAAACAATCTATTTTTCATAATGGAATAATCTTATACAATTCATTACCGAATGGATTGAAAAAATATACTGTATGTGGTAGAACTGCATTTATCATGCGATGTTTTTTTTTCGAAAGTTTTTTTTGGTACTTACATATTTTTGTCTGAAAAACACGAATTTGATAATGAAAATGTGAACTAACCACTATTTATCGAGATATTTCAAGAAATAGTTCGAAATTTCGCCATCTTTTTCCCCTTGTGGTGGATGCATTTATAGCTACTTGCTCTTCTTATTTTGTCATTGGACACTTTGTGAGAAGGTGAATTCTTATACAGTGAGCACGTTAAGGTTAGACCATATTCATCAAAATTTTGGTATGTAAATTGTGAAAAAAAAAACTCAAACACTTCAATTGTCTTTTTCAGGATGCAAATTCGTTGGTCTACTTATAATCTTGATCATTATAAATTATATTATTATGGATGAAATCGAAGAACGTAAAAGATTATGGAGGTTTTATCTGTTGTCGAATTTGCATACTAAGCAAGGTGTAATAGTCTTAGATTCAGTACAATTATGTAATAGCATCCCCAACGCTAGATATAGGTAGAGTTCCTAAATGTACTTGACACTGCTGTTTTGACGTTTTTTGTATATTAGAGTATGGACACTAGACAAGCAGTGACAATCAAACATAACCACGAACGATTTTGAAGCAAATGATATGTTTTGCCAGACAAGGACAAGAATATGTTTTTCGCTTAGATGAAGGATCCTCGCATTTTCCTTCCTCCACAAGTCCTGGGAAGAGTACAACCATATATCTTTCTCTGTCTTTGATTTCTGTATGAGAGGGTATTGCGTCTCCTCCAGTAGGTAAAAGGGAACGATAAATTGTTTAGAAAATTATGTATTCTCGAAATATTGAATGATAAGGCTGAAGGACATCAATGGAGGTCGATATCAAGTTAGTAGGTACATATATACCAACGAAATACATATACTTTTCCTATGAAATAAGTCTCTTATATACCTACACATACGTTCAGTTGAATAATTATGTTTTCATCACAAAAGTTCAGAATGGAGTAAAAACTGATGAATTTCAACCAATGAAACATACCTTTATTTCGTATGGGACAATTTCACTTGTACAAGAGTGTTATGAGTAATAAGTAATTAATAAATGAACGAATGATATGGCAACAATAACATATAAATGGACTTCAGCGCTCGACTCACTAAAGGGGATTGTTGGTTTGAACCCTGCCATTGGAAGATCATTTTCAATACCTAACATAAATGGTGCACTTGTTAAGCGTTCTTGTTCTGTGCTCTGATAATATCTTGCTCGTATCTTGGTACCCAAGAAATGGTTCAAAATCCACTAGGAGCTATGTAGTTGTCTAGCACTTCTCAACTACGCATGGAACATGCACATTCAGACTTGGGATTTCAACTTTGAAGAAGCGATACACGAACAATATATTCAACTTTTTGATATAGATACATCAATATCTGGTACATCATAGTTCCACAAAGTGACTATATGTTTTCACAAAATTATTATAAGAGTTCGTAAACGAAGATTATCCGAAGAATTCTTGGTTGAACAGGGACGTGAAATCTGTTTGAGTCAGTCAATTCAGGAAGTTGCTGCTATTTCATCATTAGATGATCAACCATGATCTCCATCATTCCACCACAAGCAATAACCAGAGTCTAAATTGGAATAACGTTCTTTTCGATAGTCGCTCAGTTTATGGGTTCGGCTCTTTATTTCAATACGATCCTATTCTTCAAAATCAAATCTTCCGTTGTGAAGTGTACCTGATGAAAATGCGTCGACAAATGTTCTATATCCTACCAAGAAATTTAAATACCTCGCAAATTTTGTGGCCTTAACCCATATTCCATGCCGGCTGCATCATATTCTGTTTTCATTTTTGTAGAATTACATTATCCGATGGAAATTCGAATAGAGTTAATTGATTTCCCGTGTTCTCACAGTTGGAAACTGCACAAACTTGCATCTTTCTCCTAATTCTTCCAATTTGTCAAACCTTTGAAATTTATGTCATGCACGTCCGTGTACTGTCAGTTCCCGCTTTTTCCATCAATTTATTTGTGGTTATGTCTGATTGTCAATGCTTGTCATAGTGTCCGTACTCTAATATACAAAATACGTCAAAATCAGCATTGTCAAGTACATTTAGGAACGCTGGATCTAGGTACTCTAGTTTCTACTTGTCCCTAACTCACCGCTGCTTATAGCGAACTCCTTGCCGCTGATAATATGATACAACAGATTCTTCATCTCGAACGGACTCAGGTTCAACAGGTGCTCGGAAGCGTCGTCTCCGTCGCAGATGAGAGTGCGCGACAGCTCGGTGGCCATCACTTGAACGATGAGGCCGACGCGCAGGCGCAGCATCTCCATGAACAGCTGCGGCTCCGTTCTGATGAACATCGACAGGTACGAGAGGAGTTCTGTAAAGATTACCGATTCGAGTTCACAATGTAGCATATTTTATTGGTATCCGGCAATTTTATTATTGAACATTTTTGGAAGAAGTCCAAGTACACGTTTCGGGCTTAGAATAAAATTGAATAGAATATAGAATAGAATATTTTATCTTGTGTTGATAAACATTAAGTTTTACACAAGTCAACAACACAAGTACAGATATACAGGGTTATTTTTTTGTCCAACCCTGTATGGCGTTTCGTGATAAAAAAATTCAGTGTGCTATGTGACTGAATCGGTACACAAATTTCAAAATGTTACATACTGTGGTTATCCAGTAATGAATGTCCTGAATGGAGTACTCAAACATCAAAATTTGAAGTCTGGTCTCGTTTTTCCGTTTTTTCTCGAAAACGAAGCGTTCTATCGAGTATCAACAAGATGATCTTTTTAGTACATGATTGAATAGCCTTTCATGACATTGAATGAAATTTGAAAATTTTCTGTCGTTGTCCACTATTAAGTAAAATATAAACAATAATATGCCCGTAACGGTGCCACAGGTAGAGAGAATGAAAATTTTTGTACATCAGAAAATGCACGCGTACCAAATTTCATGGAGATGTATACAATATTGTCTTAGGTATTATCAGAAAACTGAACATTTTTCAAAACTTCATCACCCTGTATCTCAAAAGATAAGACCTTTAGGACATACGTTCATATGGAGTTTTCTTCTTAAAATGAGTCGAAGAATCATCCCCTCGAATATTAGCATCTCTTTAAGGAACACCCTGTATAGAAATATACTTATGAAATAGATAAAAAATAGGTGTCACACATTAACAACAAATAACAAATAAAAAATTTCAATGTCCTATATCTTTCCAAAAAGTACATTACATCTCGATTCTGCTGTTAAGGAATTAATCATAGCTGTAGAAGGCGTTCTTGATCTAGTAATTTGTGAAATCCCTAATATGGTGTGGTAGTTTATTAAAAAATTCTGGAGCATAGTACAGTGAAGCATTTCTAGATTTATTAAGTCTAAGAATGTTCATTCTGATATTGTTTCTTTTTCTTGTATTGTGATTATGTATGTTGCTATGAGTTTTGTACTGACTAATTTTTTCTCGCATATTGACAAAGCATTCATTACCGGGCAGTCCATTTAAGACTATCCACCCTCGATATCTCCCAGAATTATTATTTCACAAAAAATTGACGAAACAGATCGATTTTTATATGGAGGGGGTCACCTTTTGACGCGAAATGAATAATCCATAGTTCAACCCTCTACTCCCCAGAGCAACCCCCTCAATAATTTGAATAGGGAATAAGGGTCGTGTTATTATACATCATTTGCGAAGGTATTTCAGTACTGAAACTAGCAGTGGAAAGTTTTTTGAATTCCAACAAGTCGTTCTCGAGATATTCCAGTTCGAATGGTATGTTTTTTTATTTGTGAGTAAATGAATGTATATAATAGATCGTTGAACAGGTATTCACAAAAGATGTTCAAAATGGCCTCCATTGACTTCTATACAGTGATGTAATTTACTATCCAAACGGTTAATGCTTTATCGAGATCAAACCTGTCATATATCTTCCTCACTCTCACTGATGTTTACAAACACCAAGAAACATGACTCATCGTTGTCATGATCGATAGTTTGGGGATTCCTGCGGAAACATATTCAGTCGAGCAATTTTCCTGAGATTTTCGGTTTGTGGTACATATATACCTACTAATGAAAAAAATATGTCGAAATCATTACCTATAGCAAAGGAACAAACATATTAAAACACACATAGTTTTTTTTATCTCAAATCTCAAACACTAACTGCAAGATGGGTATACTCGTCCAAAAAATAGAATGCATGACAGATTTGAATTTTTTTCATAGCTGATTTGAATTTATTTTCTTTAATGATTGCTTCAATACTTCCAGGTAGCAGATTGTTAAAATAGCATCTGGTTCAACTTTTTTACATTTTCATGAGTGTATACTAGCAATTAATATGAATATATGGAAGTGTTAGGATTCCGTGTTGAATGAATGTGTCCCTACAAGCAGACTCTGTAGTGCAAATTGAACAAAAGTCTTTTCTGAATGATTAAGATTCTATTGATTTATGTGGCTCTGCCCTATACAATAATAATAATAGTCAATTTAACTGACATTCGGCGACGTCATGGCTATCGAAATAACATAAATGAAAATGATCATCATGTTGAAATATCCGAAAACATTTTGATTTATTAAAAACATACCTTGGGTCAACATGGCTGTGCTGTCATCTTCTCCGTAAGCTTCGTGGATGAGAAGCCTCAGATCGCTTTCGGGCAAAGGAGCAGTAATGGTGTGCTCGTTGTTCGGCGGCATGCCGACCGTTATCTGCTTCTGTCTGACCAGCAAGTCTGTCACCGACTTAGCGAGGTCTTCCACTCTTTTACCTAACACGAAATTGTAGTTTTAAACCATCCAACTCAGGTAAGAATCGATAGGTTTATGCGACTGTGGCAATCAAATCATTTTCTTAGGTTATTTCTTGTGGTTACTATACTTGAACTTCGGTTAGGAAAAGAAATTCAGTGATAAAAATGATCTAGACACCATACATACTATCATTGGGTATGGACCGTAAATCGCCGATGATAATTATAACAAATAGTACAATTGCATCATTAACACTTTTGCTGCCGTGAGTACATTGATTTTTTTCACCGTGGGCCAAAAATGTGTTTTGTTGCAAAACTATCAAATGGTTCTGCGGGTGTACAATAATGTTACACTTTTGTTATTGCAGTGTGTACACCAATGTTACACCCGGCGGCGAAAGTGTTAACAATACCTTATTGTTTTCCATAGCCAAATTTTTTCAAATGATTCCTCCTTTACCCTCTTGAAAAGGAAAAAGAACTACTCAAAGAAAACTTTCACCTGCCAAGAATGTCATCTCCAACCAGAATAGCCCATATAAAACGGCGGTAGCTCTGGTGACAGATTTCAGCAACCATATTTGAGCATTTACGGGACATTAGTCACTGAATGAGTGAATTTGACATTCACGGAACGTAATTTCACTTACCAGGTTTGCCAAGTTGTTGGTGTACTAGCTAGTAGTATGCTTCACTGCTTCAAATACGAAATGTGAAATGTACAATGAGAGTAGCCTGAATTTGGGGTTATGTTGAGGAGCAGTCTGTCATCGACTTAGCGAGGTCTTCCACTCTTTTACCTAGCACGATATCCAACTTGGGTTAGAACCAAGATGGCTCTTGTTGTTACACGACAATGGGGATGTTTCCAATATTGAGGTTCTTATTTCACTAAGAAATTTGTAGAAATTCAATACCTATAAGTACTTACACGTATTTTTTTTTCATAAAATCAAATTCTCTGTGTCAGTACGACGTTGCCGGCATCATCAATATGTCTAGATTAGTGGAAATTGTTTTCCATTATATAACTAATCAACAACAACGCCATGTTGTCTTCTCCAATTTTTTATATAAAGTGCTCAAAGAAACAAGTGGACCACTGGAAATTTTGACAATTTTCAAACTGCTATAACTTTTCAAAAAATGAATGGATTTTCAATCGGAATGCAGTGTTCGGAAGATGCAGTCTTTCTGTTCAAGATTCACTGTTCAAAACTCGTCGAAGTTTTTCTGCCATTATACACCAAGTGTTCGAAAAAAGTATTACAAAAATGAAAAAGTTCAAACGCTTCCGTATTCCAAGGAAATTTTTTTATTTTTCTACAAATCGTTTTTTCTGAACGTTCAAGCCAATATCTCGAAACGGTTTTGGAATTTTTCATATTCCTCATACAGGATGTTGAAAATCGATTTTTTTTCATTTTTTGGTTTTTATCGCATCATTTCCGATTTTAAAATCATGCATGCCACATTCGAAGCATTTTGCTACGCATACGACGATGAAACATCATGGAGAATGGATTCACATTGCTTTGAAGTCATCGACAATCTCAACAGAAGAAAAATTCATTTTTTTTGGGAATGTTCAGAATTTGGCGAAATCGTCTGTTCAGTTTGGTGCTGCCATAACCATATGCTATGCTAAACACAATTCCTTCATTTGGGTCGATTGCTCTGCTCAATATCTCGGATTGATTTTGTGATTTTTCAGATAAGTCAATCTAAGGGGGCGTAAGGGGGCCCTTTTGGATTTTCCTGATCAATTCAAACGATAACGAAGATACAATGGTTTTAAGATATTCCTGAGCTGGCATGAAGTCAAGAAACCTCTTTAAAACAAGTTTTTTCATCGGATAGTCGAAAATTAATCGAAAAGTCAATTTTATGTAATCAACACCCATTCACGCAATTGATACCACTGCAACACCCAATATAATACCTCATGTCGAACCTTTGACAACTGTCATCATCCTACAACAATATCTTTATATTCAAATTCAACCAAAAGAAAGATCCGCTTTTAAACTTTGGGTGCATCAAAAATCATTATTTCTTGAACAAGTTTTTATTTCTGAAATTAAGTACCCAATAATTATCATTATAAATATATTCAATATTTTGTTGGTCCACCTCGTCGACTCAATAAATGTTGACATCTTCGAGGCATTGATTCTATCAAGGATCGAATGAAATCTTGTGGAATTCTGGCCCATTCATCACGAATTATGTTTTCCAAATGATTCAAATCATCTGGAATTCGTTGCCTTTCTGATAATCGGAGCTTTAATCGACTCCAAACATGTTCTATTATGTTCATGTCTGGGGAATTAGCTGGCCACTCCATATGATTGATGCCGTGCTGTTGGATAAATTCATGAACGATTGCCGCCCTATGTGGACGAGCATTATCGTCTATGAAGACGAATTCGTTTCCTCGAGCAATAGCTTCTGGCAGAAGTATAGGGCCAAGACATTGCTCGATATAAACCCTTGCATTCATAGTCCTCCTCAAGATGACAAGATCTGTTTTTCCGTGCCATGAAACACCGCCCCAAATTGTTAGCCCACCTCCACCAAAAGCAACTTTCGCACACATATTCAACTCCACATGTCTGTCGTTTGGTTGACGCCAAACCAACATCCTGCCGTCAGATTGATGCTTTGTCACCCTACATTCGTCCGTGAATAAACAATGCCGCCATTCCATATCCCATTCCAAATGTTGTCTTGCCCATTCCAGTCTTGCCGTTCTATGATGTGCTGTTAGAAACGGACAGCTCTCCTGCCTTCTAGCACGAAGGTTTCTTCTGTGAAGTGTGTTCCGAAGTGTTTGAGAACTGACGTTCAAACCTGCAGCTTGTCGAAGGTCTTCATTCAACAAGGATGCATTTCTCCTGGGGTTTCTTCTAGCGAGAACTTGCACATATCTGCTTTGAGCATTGCTGAGCTTTCGAGGTCTGCCACCTCCAAACCTATAACTCACAATGCCGGTCTCTTGTAATCGACTTTTCGCTCTCACCAAAACACTGTGGGAGACTCCATACATTTGGGCTGTAGCTCTTATTGATAAACCATTCTCAATAAGTCTAAGAGCATTTTCGAGTTCATTCCGAGACAATCGCGGCATAATTTTCGAGCACAATAATACCAGCAAAGATATTGTTGTAGGATGATGACAGTTGTCAAAGGTTCGACAGGAGGTATTATATTGGGTGTTGCAGTAGTATTAATTGCGTGAATGGGTGTTGATTACATAAAATCGACTTTTTCGAACAATTTTCGATTATGCGATGAAAAAACTTGTAATGAAGAGGTTTCTTGACTTCATGCCAGCTCAGGAATATCTTAAAACCATTGCAGCTTCGTTATCGTTTGAATTGATCAGGGAAATCCAAAAGGGCCCCCTTGCGCCCCCTTGGATTGACTTATCTGAAAAATCACAAAATTGATTCGAGATATTAAGCAGAGGAATCGACCCAAATGAAGGAATTGTGTTTAGCATAGCATATGGTTATGGCAGCATCAAACTGAACACACGATCTCGCCAAATTCTGAACATTTCTCAAAAAAAATTAATTTTTCTTCTGTTGAGATTGTCGATGACTTCAAAGCAATGTGAATCCATTCTCCATGATGTTCCATCGTAATATGCGTAGCAAAATGCTCCGAATGTGGCATGCATAATTTCAAAATCGGAAATAATGCGATAAAAACCAAAAAATTAAAAAAAATCGATTTTCAACATCCTGTATGAGGAATATGGAAAATTCCAAAACCGTTTCGAGATATTGGCTTGAACGTTCAGAAAAAACGATTTGTAGAAAAATAAAAAAATTTCCCTGAAATACGGAAGCGTTTGAACATTTTCATTTTTGTAATACTTTTTTCGAGCACTTGGTGTATAATGGCAGAAAAACTTCAACGAGTTTTGAACAGTGAATCTTGAACAGGAAGACAGCATCTTCCAAGCACTGCATTCCGATTGAAAATCCATTCATTTTTTCAAAAGTTATGGCAGTTTGAAAATTGTCAAAAAATTCAGTGGTCCACTTGTTTCTTTGAGCACTTTAATTTTTATTCGTTTGCTATTCGCTGGCAATGTTCTTCATAATCAGCTATATTCAGACTAGATTCGGTCACAGTGTGCCGCCCGCAACTATTAGAAATTGCTTTATTTCGAAAATAAAAACCATTTGGACTTTATCGATCGCCATTATGTACAGCGTGGACATAAAACTGATGAGTTCCGAACTCATTTTATAAAAATTCATCTGAAGGAAACTTCCCCATTAAAATCGACCGTGGTAATCAAATAATTTGTTTTTGTCATAACCTGTGATTGGTATGCTTGTATTTTTGATAATTCAAACTAACAAGATGATCCAATGTAAAATATTGAAGCCAAAGCCCATAGTTCTTGGCTGGCTCATAGACAGCGCTAGCGAAATCTGCTGGAATCTGTTCGAGCCCATCTCTCTGCAAGTTGCTGAACTATCTAGGAATATCCTTATTTCTGAAGCAGGAGAATCAGCAAAGTTGATATTCTGAAGGCTTTCAAATAACAATATTTTATTCAGGACCTGATTCGACATTTCTTCTTGCATAAAAACATAATATATTCTGCATTACCGATCTCTATCCTTCCTTACTCAACAAAAAGTGGTTCACCATGTCACTCATAGATAACGATAATGCTAATAATAATAAATAGCCCTAATTTTATATGGCGGAGTGTGGCAGAGCTATTTTACCGCCACCTACTGAATAAAATTTCTGGCTTCATTGCTCCTATCAGGATGGTTCATCTTATAAGTGTGAATATTCAAGGCTGGTACCAACAACATGTTTGTGAAATAAACAGAAAATCGTTCTTCACCTAGCATCCCGGCTGTATGTCTGACCAATCCCCACATCTTCTGGTGGCAAGCCTTCTCGTACAAGCCTTTGAGAAGGTCCTTGACCGTCACGACTTTCCCGTTCTCCAGCATGCCGGTGTTGTAGTCCAGGCCCTTCGAATCGACCAGGTACTGAAGGATGTCGCCCTGTTCGTCCAGCGATTCTGATTCTCTCAGCATCGCGAACAGTTCGTCTACCTACCACAAAAAACACTGAGTCAGGGGCCGTTCCAGTCTTGTCTAGAAAAAATGTATCCTCAATGGAATACCCTCAAAATATTTTTTCGAGAAATTTTTTGCATCAATTCACTGTATGAAAAATTATTGAAAACGCCAAAATAAAACGAGCGAAGACGTGTGACGTCAGGTCAGGACCTAACCTTCTCGCAGGAGCCAATAAAATGCACAATCTGTTGCCAATCTGGCCAAGAAGCTGTGATTAGTCGGATTTTAATTTCTTGATTTTTTCATTCCAGCATTTATAATACTGATGCTGTTAGATAACTCAACTAATACCTATTCATGGTACTGAAAAATTGCATTAAAATGTTAGTTTTTTTTTTTGCTGTTTGTAAAATATTTGCCCAGCGATTCTGATTCTTTCAGCATCGCGAACAGTTTGTCTACCTACCACAAAAAACAAACCCTCATTTTTTTGTTCAACGAATGAGTCGGAATGGGCCTTGCTGTCTTGTCTACAAAATATATATCTCCAAATATATGTCTCTGGAATACCTCAAAATATTTTTTCGAGAATTTTTTGGCATCAATTCACAGTAGAAAAATTATTGAACACGCCAAAATAAAACGAGCGAAGACGTGTGACTTCAGTACGCGAGCAATTTGGATTGATAATAACTTCACCTTCTTGCAGGTGCCAAAAAATGTACAATGCACTTGACATGGAGTTGACAATTTGCCAATTTGGGCAAAAAGGAATTATTATTCAGATATTAATTTCCTGATTTCTGCATTTCAGCAAACAATACTGATGCTGGTAGATAACCCAACTAATACCTACCTACCTACCTAAAAATTCGTGGTACTGAATATTGCTTTAAACAATTTGTTTGTTTTGTATTTTTTGTGATATATTTAAAATTTGTTTCTTTCTGGACTGTTCCTTGATGCAAACTGACGTATTTGTCATCTTAAGGACAGATCCTCGTCTCCCCTCACTCTAAAGTGTTTGTGAAACAGTTATATAGTTCCGTCCTTATTCAATTCTGGGGCTAAACACTAGATTCCTGACATTTGTTGTTTTCTAGGTTACATTGAGGACATTGGCGTATCATACGTAATTTCCACATGGAATTCCTTATTCACCTCTACATATCATATCCGAATGATGATCAATAATTTTTGAGTTTTTGATTTTTCAACTCCAGCATAATCTTTGTGAGGCAGTGAGCATACATTTTTCTGAAAGTTGAATATGTTTTACTAAATGGGACGGTTCTTAGGATGTACCTATAAATAAATGAATTCTGATTCAGACTTAACCTTATGGTTGAGAAATGGTGAAAACGTTGATGTAGGTATTTAAACAAATGTGCTCATATGTCATGTGTGCTGTATATTCATATAATCATGTTGGGTATCATTTTGGCAGTTTTTATAAAAAAAAAATATTTTCTGAATGTAGGTATACCTTACTTTTTAAATGGTAGGGCATATGCCTCTTTTTTCAATCCTCCGTTTAAATGAAAACTGTTTCTACCAAAATGCATTCAAACACTTGTGGAGCGGATAATGATCCATGTTTTAAGTTCATTTGCATTTGTTGGAAAGCTGACAAATTCAAATTTGCCAACCAACTGATTAATACAGCCTAATGCAGCACATTTTACCATCCTTCCAAAACAGAATTGAATAATGTCATATTAAGATTAGTACTAATTAAAATTTAACGTCTCTATGAATGTGACGTGACAGCCATTTCATGTCAGCGACACCGATACACAAAACCAAAGTCACTAGATCATTAAAAAAAAAAAAAGGAGCTATGATCTGTCGGTACCCAATTAAGATGACAAATACGTCAATTTATATGGAGGGACTGGACCAATTAGAGAATGGAGGGTTTCATGACTTTTTTTTCATTTTTTTATGTTCATAACTTATCTGAGAATATTCCTTTTCAAACTAATAGCATATTCGACTGGCTGCACTATTGCGCATTCAATTCTACCTTTTGTCGTGCGTGTGTGTTCGGCTGGTATATGCACTCAGACGGTACCAATATTATTTCTATTCGGCTGAACAGGCACTACTCAAGGGCAGAGCAGAATTTATGTTCGACTAGTAAAAGCATTCCGATGTTATTTCGAATTTTTGAAGGTGCAGAAGTCACGGGCTGAAAAATGTTGAAATATATTAGGTGTTTATTCACATTGTTATGCACAGATTTCGAAATGAATATAATAAAACTATTAGCAATTGATGTCCTATTGTCGAGTAGTAGCTATAAATCGAAAGCAGTAATGATATTTCTGAATTCATAAAATCGAAGTAGAGTGATACAGGAAAGCAGAAAATTAATGCTACCTAAAAATTGCAAAAAATATTGGAATACGAGGTATTTGAAGTAAATGACAAAATTGCATCATATCTACTACACACCATCGAAATAATTTGACAATCTGTCAATTTTGAAGTGAGATCTCTGATAAGATCTAGCATCATTCTGCTCAAGATAGTGATTGGAATAGATGACGTTTGATAAACTACAATGTTTTTACATGCCTTTGAGACATGTATCATTTCGTTATCAGATGACGGTCGCTATATGCAGCCGGCTGTTTGTACTATAATGTCAGTGTTGAACTTCGTTCATAGAGTGCCAAAATAATTCGCATTATCTACATGAATCTGCTCTAGATGGGTTTGAACTAAACGAATACTGTCCGAAGTCAGTGCAGAGCTAATTACGCACCTATTCGCGGGAATCAATGTTACCAGGTGGCGCTCGGTTTTCATCGTTCCATGTCAAAGCCACGTCAAAACTGGGGGAAAACAAACTCAATCCTCACTCAAACCCATTAGTGCCATTAGCTTGTGTACTGTGTACTGATAAGTGATGTTTTTAAATTTCTTGACATTAATATTCGATCGAAAACGCTAATTATGCCTGTTGTAGATGTTTTTTTGGCAGATATTTTGCTCTATTCAGATGGATGAAGCCGAGCAGTAGTTGAAGGAGAAGCAGTTCTCCGTGCTAATCATGTGATTTTGTGTGAGGCAGAAGACTTCAACAAAAGGCACATTTTTGCACTTTGTCCACAAACTTCGGCGATGAAATCTTCCCCACATGAAGTAAAATTGAAGTTGGGGTCCAGAAGAACTCCTGTAGAACAATGGATTTGTATTTGTTCATGCAAAGCAGGACAATCTGGGTATTGTAAACATGTTGTGGCTGTTCTTTTATATGTCAATTGATTTGCTCGTCATAATTAGTTTTAATTGTTTGAACTATCTCCAATTCTTCACCCGTTCACTGTTCACTAAACTAATAAAAATGTAATAATGTGAAAAAATTAACCAAATCAACCATCATCACTACCAACAGTGCCAACACTTTATGTCATCGACAAGTTTGACTACAGCTACAGCAAGCTGAATGCAATGTAGTCTATGCACTTTATCCATAGACAACAGTTTGTTTTCCCCCAATTCGAAGTTCGTATTATGTAACCTAGATGTCCACACTTTGTGAATCTCGCGAATACCGTGCCAGTGCAATCCAGTCGAATACGCTATTATTTGTTGCTCAACATTTTCGATGAATATCTAATCAGAAGAACGTTTTTGAGTTCCCTTCATAACATTATTACGAAATAGGTTCAAATTTTACGAATCTGGAAAGGCCCATTCTTTGAACACCTCAACCTCTTAAAATAGAATCACTTTTGTTTTCAACATACTTCTGTACCATCATACTGCGTTTCTGACATATGTCTGTGTCTTGTCACGCTTATGCTGGGCAGTTCTCTCTTCGTTTTTTTCGGTGCGTCCATGGGCATCCTCTGTTTCTGATCGGGCGAAGTAGATATCAACTGATCCTTGGAAGCATTGTCAACAGTGTCTAGGGGATGGCAAGCGAAAAACATGGAGCCCCTCCTCTCTAGGCTCGCTTTGCTTTCCATACCCAATGTTTCCGCTACATGGAATGCGAACAATCTTAGATTTATCGAAATTGAATTTGAACTTTGCCATAAATATCGTGTTCAGTTTTCGATGCTTCTGCGTGATATCTCAGTTATCTTTGGAGATAGGACCTTGCAGTCCTGTGTCACTTTTTTGTCATACTCAAGATGGCCTGATCAGATTTCGCATAACTGTTTCCTTTATGAGATACAGGGAAAATTTATACTTTTTGAACCCCCTCTATATCTACGAAGTTTGTCAGCGAAAATGTCAAATTAAAAGCTCATCCCATACAGAATTTTACGCAAAATATTTGTTTTGTATGGCTTTGGAGATACCTACGTCTAAAATTCATGATTTTTCTTAATCACGCGAAAGCATCGAAAGCTGGATACACTGTACATCATTGAAACTTTGAAACACTGTTTTGAATTAGAGCAGTTTTGAATTCCTAGGAAAACGGTACACTCAGGACTAGTCACCCTACATAATTCTCTAACCAATAATTCAATGAGAAATGCTCAAGACATATCTACAGAAGCAGTCTATGTCAATATTATGCCCCTCAAGCATTGAAGTTCAACATTAGTGATGATCTATTAATTTTTTTGTGTAGAGGATACTTTGCGATAGAACGACAAATAAAACATTGATATATAGTCAATCACGTCAACTTCTGTTTATATTTTAGACTGTTTTCAGATAGCCAACCAGCCAACTAAACACTTCAATTACTTATTCAATAACTATATCACCTGGCATCTAGACCAATGAAAAGCGATGTTAACTAAGCCCTTTCCCCACTAGGCGCTTTATTCTTATGCACTGTTCAATTCACAGAGACATGAGAACTACATTGTAAATTAGAGTTGTGTATGTGCATATGTGATTGAGTAATGATTTATGGTTAGAGAACGTTACTGAGAGGAGCATGTCAACTTTATTTAGGAGTTTCTCGACAAGAAATATTATATTTTTCGGTAATACAACTGAATGTGAAAAAAATTTTATCGCGTTTTATGAAACTGGAATTTTTTCCACGAAATTTTGGTATTTTGTTTCATTCTAACAGCACTGATCTTGTCAACGAAGACAGATAAATCCTTAAGCACGTTCCAAAATCAAACAATCCAAAATCCGTCTACTAATACTAATCACATATCGTGAAGTATAATTACGAGAAAATATATCCAGACTATTAGAAAAGATATGGATGGTTTTACCTGAGTATCCCCTCATTATGTTCGTATGCAATACAATTGTATTGATGATTATGGAAATACATATACCTTCTATTTTGAAAACCAAATTATATTGCTAGAAACCACACGAGCACATAGCGCAGTCGGTGCATTATGCATACATACATCCTTCAAACAATTTAGTGCGTGACCACTGACAGCGACTCAATTCATTATTAACTATTGAATGATAAAAGGATTGTTAGGTTTGAAATTAAGTTATGAAGGTTAGCTATTGACCGTTAGCAATTAACTCATGAGTTTATTAGGTTGATATTAGAAGTGTTTCTTTGGAATGCCAATACAAATTGAAAGTGAGTGCCTATCACAATGTGTTCCTGAATATGAAAATATTATGACGTCCATGACAGCCTGCTGCTGGTAAGTTATTTTGTTTTATATCTGATCAACTACCAATGAGGAAGAGAAATGCAAAATCGAAAAAACACTATTCAAGTATCCAGTATCCAATCAATTGCCGAAATAGAAAATCGAAAACCAATCAAAAACGTTCATTGGACATTGAGTGGACTAACCTCCTAACACAAGCTCTTATTGCGTGAATTTCAGCTTGCAATACCGTCCACTAAGCCAGAGTGTATCAACTCAACTAGCACAAGAGAAAATACACCTCTCTTGCCAACTAGTCTAGTAAAATGAGTCACATTTATATACTTCATGAAAAGTAATCGAACTTCGCCTACTTTTTCGACAATGCGTCAACTGCTCTTGAAATTTTGTTGAAATCGCTATAAGCATGCACTCTGTTTTTTTTTAGTTCATTTATTAGTAGATAAAAGTATATCTCCTGATGATGAAATCTTTCAGATGTTTGTATCAATGTCTTAACACTACCTACTCATCAAACTTGTTTCATCATATAAGGCGTGTTCCTATATTCATATGATCAATTTCATCTGGTTATTTCTAATGGATGTCTTTTGAAGTCACATATTACTCGATAAGGAATAGATTTCCACTGAGCATGAAAACGATTTCATTTGAACAAATTAAATGACAGCAGCATTGAAGATATATGAAAGAAACTCTGAAAAGACAAACTGAGCATTTCAATCACAAATTATTTTGTATTTATCGAATTTCTGAACAGGAAAGTGAGTAGGTGTTAAAATGTATATATAGCTGTAGCTATAATTTTCAGTCTTTTCACCGTTTTGCATAGGCCCCTCTCTGAATTCATCTATATATCAGTTGCTCATGCCGATGAATCACATGAATATCCGATTGAGGAGCCCGCTGAAGTTGAGAACTATTTACTGTTCAAGCGTTTGAATTGGTGAATCAAAATACTACCTGATAAAATAATAATAAATATGTTTAGTGTTAAAAATTGATTCAGGTAATTTATTGTTTATTTGAAATAATAATACTCACCCCCATTATGATCAATCGGTTGCATGGAAGTGGTAACTAAATTTTCATTATTATTAATAAATTAGTAAGTACCCAAGATTGGATTGTTAAATACCTCACGGTATCATATAACAATCAGTATTCGGGTGAATATTATTTTCAACAACGATCATATTATAACAACAAAAATTATTTGTCCCACTTTGAGCAGACCATACTGATTCATCATTAGCTGATCATAGCATTTGAAATAAATTGAAAAAACCGAAATGGTTTAAGGAAACCCATAGTCACTACCATCTTAAAATGATGACAAATCTGCTCAAGGTAAAATTTTTTCAACAATTGAAAAAGTCACTCACAATCGACACTGATGGACCGGGTTTTTTTGATGGCTCCTCTAACAGACATTTTCCTCTTTAAATTTCTCTGTTTCAGACCAGTCCTACATACTGTCAATAACGACGATTTATGAGATAGAGAATCCACTGAATGTTCTTCCAAATAGCGCTGAACTTGAGGATTCAATTCTATAAAAAAAACATTTGTATGTGGGTAAAATCATTATTATGGATTGTGAAAGGATGTCAAAGTGAACTGGCTAAGTATATCAAAATGTGCATGTATGATATAGAGTGCAGTTTTGAAATACTTACTATCAGGCAAGCCCTCTTCCTGGCATCCCAAAAAATTCAGATTTGTTATACAACTTGTGCTCAGGAAATCTGTCAGATGGCCCAAAGTTACTCTTGTGCCATTTATGTATCCAGATTTCAGTTTCTTCATTGTAGTAATCATTGCAAGTGGGAGTTTTCCATCCTCTGTAATTTTCAATTTTTTATACTTACAGGACTAGCCAAACAACCAGCGGAGATACCCGTTCTATAATCAGCATGCAAATGAAACATCAAAAGTTAACTTGAAGCTTGAAGCAAACATAGCACTTGATACATGCCCTACAAATATGTGATCAGTCGTTACCGCCGATGTTGTATCGGCGGTAACGGATCAGTTCGGTTAAATAACCAATATTGACCTAAATCCTGTTGTATATACTTCATTCAAATATCATTTCAATACCATTGAATCAACAGAAAATAAGCATCTGATCTTGAGAATCCAATTGGTGGGTGGTGTGTTCGAGATCAAGTGAGACACATAGATAAATTTGAAGTTAAAACGTAGCCCATTTTCTATTCAAACAGATGAATAAATTAAGGGTCGATAAAATGAGATATTGTAACGCCATCAGGGATCGAGCTGTAATTCATCGATCTCTCAAACGATATCGTTTTCTTCTCTGACAAGGCACGAGAAAAATTTCCTGGAATTTCTAAAATCCTGGGTGTACACCAATCGTCCCAACACCCAAGAAGCCCAGGAAGGAAGGAATGCTCGAAGTCATCTTCACAAAAAAAAAAAAATTGTGGAGATGACTTCGAGCATTCCTTCCTTCCTGTGAAATATTTCACTCCAATTTGAGCAATATGGACTTCTACCAAAGATTACCCAAGAAGCCGACAAAAATAACATTCGAACCCAAATTGCAGAAAAATGCGTGCACAAAAATTCTGAAAAACGCTCATTCAGGTTTAGAGTGTTATAACGTAACTTGAAATGGAATTTTGAATGAAAAATTATCAGTGCAGTAATCAATCAAGCCATCAAGCCACTCAGGCATCCATTACACTACTCTAGATTATATAATTTTTTCTTCAACAGTTCAATATAGTATAATCATGCAAATACAACCACAGTACATAGAGCACTTAGCTAACATAGCATCTAATACATTGTTATTATATTTAGTACGAATCTTTGACATCTGATTTTCATTAATAATATGACGATGTTCTGAAAATTCGATAAATCTGTCGCGAATTTGGGATGTCGGCAACACAATTGAGTTGAGTTTTTAGTAAAACAGGCTTGGGCATTCCAGGCTATGCAGCAGAGTTTGACGAATTTTGACATTAACATAGACCTCAAGTTCCACCAGTAGCATCGACTGGTGATATTGAAAATGTTCGCCTTATTCACCCACAATCATTGGGTTCGGTAAGTTTTAAAAAGCCAATAAAATAATTTTATTTTTATAAAATAGTGAACATTTTTATACTGATTGATAACAATATCTACAGGCTGATTCACACTAGATAGCACATAAGACGTACGTTTCTGGTGAACCAAACACCGGATCATTACGAAAATTTGATGGAGAGCATATTCGGACAATCTCTAACCAACTGAAATATTTTCGACAACGCGGTGTTGCCATTTCTATCATTTTGTTATTTGCATTTTAAGATAATCTCTGAGAAGCTGATTTAATCAATGTGTCACATTTGACCAATGATGAATAGTTTCGACTGAGATATTTATTATTCACGATAGAGAATTACACGGTTACTGACTTGAACACTTATAAGCGCTTTGTTTTGATGATATATCCAATAAGCACTAACAAAAAACGAATGTTAAGTAAAGTAAACATGCCGCCTTGACAGCTTTCAAGATCTCTGATAGGTGGCGCACGCTTCTATCGCGAAACCCTCTGGTGAGCCCACTCTTCAATTGTTTTGTGAGACTAGCTGGCCATTGAATGCGAGTTCAGACCGTGAGGTTCTCATAATCTATGATAGATGGCGTGAACGATGGACAATGTCTCTTGAAAAGTTTCAAAATGCGTTTCGAATCTTATTATGAAGTTGAACTAGACTTTCAAGGGTGTGTTTTCCTTATTTCGAGACCTGAAGAGTCCCGTTGGTGATGCAGGAATTCGATAATTGATGGTTAAAAGAATTAAGAGACAGGATGCAAAGGAGACAGGACGCAACAAATAATCCGTGCGGAAACATCTTGATCTTGACATATCTGTCACGAGTGTCATAATTCCGGCATATTTATGATTTTGTTCACATTTCAAATAGAAATCATTAATTAGTAGTTTATTAACAGATATTGATATTATATTATTTGTTGAGTGAGTGTTTTGTGCTTTCATCATGGACTGACTGCTGCAATGTGTGAGGATTATTTGAAAATTCGAACATTCGTTTCATTTATGTCCCAAAAGTGAGTAATGAACTATTCACAGGATTTTCTTTAGTTGGGACTTCGTGTCGTTCATGAATTCATCATTGAATATCGAATATAACGCACCGAAAATGTGAACTCAAATGAATGTGTCATGATGCCTGTAAATTTGGTTTGAAACTTCGTAAATTTAGCAAGATTCTCCCACGCCTCGCTATTTTTACAAAGTAGGCGATATCGAGAGATTTCGAAACTCCATTCAATAGGAAATGCTAACACCATTTGACTTTCTATACATCTATATGTTTCGACACCGCTAGACCCCAAGTGTATTGGTGAAATCAACTCTTCAGTTAGAATCTAAAAATGTAATGAAATACAGGGTGTTTCATTCAAAATTACAAAGTTGCTACTACTTCATTATGAAAGTGGCAACAACACATTGTCGGAAATTTAGTTGGGTAGAGAATGTCCGATTATTTTCATTAAATGTTCAAAGTACCATCCACCGTAAATATAAGCGCCTGTATAGAACTATTCTGATCGATTTGTAGTGTTTATTTGTTAGAAGGGACGTAAAATTAACATCGAAATCCTTATCAGATATAATTACCTAGATGATTTTTCGTAGCTACTACAGTTATCGTAGGCCTTCCGAGCACGTTTCGCCAATTCATCGTTAGAAACGCCAAGTGGGTAACCACTTTGTCGGCTAAAAGGGCCATGTCGTAGCTCGTGTAGTACTCTTCGGGGTCAAAGTTCTAACCACCCACCATATGGACAAACATGCGAAACACCACAAAATGCATTAAAGCAAGAACATTATTTTGTTCATTATGCTCACTATATGACTTTACAAAAATCATCACCGGCTCATCAAGATTACATAGTTTTTCCTGAGGAAACACGAATCCAATGACAAAAGGCCGGGATTATTTGATGTGATTTGATTACGGGATAAGGATTATGCCATCACATCACAGAAAACAACTAATTTTCTGGTTATTACCACGGATATTCAATATATGTTATGGATAAAAAAATAACATTCATTTATATTGACCAGGGAATAAGTTGTTGCTGTAAGACATTTCAACAATGATTTTCTTATTTCTCATAAATCATTATTTTTGTTTTCTCAATAACTTAAAGAGATATTTTTCAATAGCTTCACTACGTGTTGAGTGAATCTAAGTCAGCATAATGAACAGAATAGGACCCTGTACAAAAATATATAACATATTCAAAGACGTATTTCAGAAGATCGGTTAGTGGATCACCTTTAAGGGAAAAACATTGCAAGCTGTGAGCAAAGAAATATAATTTTTTGTGGAATACTGAATAATATTTTTGAGAATTGAGAATGGTATATCATTGGTATTTAATGTATATAATGAACTGTGCTGATTATTAAAAAGAGTCATCCGACGTATTCATGTCATCTGTCAAATAGACATTAACATTTAAACCGTTGGTCAATCCAAGCCATTTTCAGAATTGTTTCGTTTTGATTGCACGAGTTCATTCGCAAACATCTAACGATGTTGTAATGGAAATTATAATACTCACATGAAACTCAATGAAAAACTCTTCACACACTTTAAGTCGCTAAATAATTAAGGAGTTAAGAGTGTGAATGAGTAGAGTTAAACTGACTGATTAATAATAACACAACTTCTGGTAAAATAAAAAAAATACATTATCATTTACAAAGGCCATTCAGGACACCCAATATAGGGAATGTTTTGAAGTCTCAATTATGGTAACAACGATTATTTACTTATTTTATCATGAGGCTCCACCTAAAGATGAATAATATTGGAAAGTTGAAAATCTGGTTTCAACATAATTGTATGTGTATAAGTATGTGAATTTGGTAGACTTGTTTCAGGAAATTTGACATTGCAACAAACTGTGTTTATGAATATGATAAGGTTATTCTACATTTGAAAACACAGTTTCTAATTGTCTCATGTTGCTGAAAACATTCCTCGAATTTCACAAGAGCATTTATTTTTCTTTACAATGTTTATCGACGAATTGCATTTTGAAATAATTCAACTTGAATATTATATCCGACTATGATTACTTGATTTAAAGGTACGGAAATATGATCTTTACAAAATGTTGAATTCATGCAAAAGATAGGTGGCTATAAAATAAAAGTAGTTTCTCGTAAAATCTGAGGTGACCTATTTACTTGAACCACACTGGAACACGTTTGACTCCTATCCTCATATTATTGCGCAAATGATACGAATGACCCTTCTCAATTCTCCTAAACTACTATTTTTTCCATTTCTCATGACAAAACTTAGCAAACCAGCATTTTTTAACAAAGAAAAGTACTACCTAGGTGCAGTCTTCGACAAACTATTGTCACCAACGGTCTCCCTAACATATTCTGCCAGCTCGACTTCAAAAAATTGATTTCGCTCTTGCAAATATCGATCATTAGCTCGTAATCTGTCGCTATGTAATTTTGTGTATTGTCGGTGAACTAAATAATAGTAAATAAAATAGCTAATCAATCGTTAGGATTCGAGTATTGATTTGCTTACATTCACCAACTAGTTCTCCATCTATAAATAGATCATCTGTGACCAATGAGAGAGAGAAAGAAAGAGAGGGATTGACAACATCATAAGAGTGAGATGAAAGAGAATATATGTCACAACAAATTGAGCTGATGGTTGGGTAAAAATTTCTCGACCATATTTGACTATGTTGCACATGCATATCCATGGTCCTTTCTCTTTCTTCGTACAGGACGTTAAAACAAGGGCAGTACTAGTAGAGTTCAAATTGTTAGATCTTTATGATTCATACAATGTTACAAAATCGTTTTGATTAGGCTCTTGAAATGATTTTTAGTTCGTATTTGTATGGGTACCTAATTTGATTTGAAGAGACGGAATCTTCATTGAACTCAAACAATTGTTGACGTCTAGACTCGAGTCGCGCCATTTTTCTCAATAACAAATGGCAGCAATGAAAATTTGACTAGAACTAGTATCAGACGCCACAAATGTCATGGGAACATGAGAGATGCACAGCACAAATGATAAAACTAGAAAGAAAAATACCACACCAAAAAGTATGTTTGACAATATAATAAAAACAATTATCATTATCATTATTGGACTCAATAACCTAATAGAAAATATTATGAAACAAGTTACATGCCTTTTCCAGCATAATGAATATTTCAAAATATTATTTGAGGATTCAATTTAATGCATTGTCAATCTACCAATATATGGTGTTGTGTGGTAGTTAACCAGGTTCCAATGATACTTTAGTACCTACTGAATTAGAATATAGCATTAACGTAGACAAAGAACGACAACCTAATTATGTCTTGAAAATGGATAACATATTTATTGACACCAATAATCAACTGAACAGTATTAAATTCCACGTATTTGTTTGAAATGGTGTCTAGTTCAGAAATATTTCTGGAACACTCTTCAAAAGGGTGAATATCAATCGAGATTAGCCCAAGGTGAATATTCAATATTATTTAAAAAAAGTTTAAATTCACTGCAAAGTAGTGATGGATTTTTTCCAAGATGAAGTGCTGAATCGTGTTATTACTTCAACAATTTTTAATTAATCTCACCATAAAAACACAATATTTTATTCAAAATTCTGTGAGCAAGTTTGATTGGATGATGTGAATACGATGCAGAGCTTTCAGCCACACATTTGGGTTGATCTCATTATTTAGTTTAGTGAAATGATTGAAAACTTCATTACCTGTGGAGTGAATGCGAAAATTTTCTCCCCGAGAGAATACAGCTTGCTTGTTGATAATATACCAACATCTCTTGACTTCCTTCCTGACAATCCAAGCTTCCTATTGCGCCCTGAAAATTAATTCAAAATAAACTGGATTCTTGAAATGTTCAAGAGGCAACAGTACTAATTTTCACCTAAGTATGTATACAAATGTGATAGAACTTTGGCAGGTTGCACTTCAATGGGTGCAACCTCAGCAATTGTCTGAACGTGAATTTCGTGCTCAGCCAATTTATTCCTTATTTCGACATCTTCAGCCAAAATAACGACTTGCACCACTACGTCTGGCTTTTTTTCGGAACATAGTCGCCTATTGAGCGGATCCAATTCTCCAGGAGCCAGAAATCCCTGAAACAATGTCCGAAAAAGGTAACTTGACATCTTTAAAAATCTAACAGATCACCTACTTCTTGGAGTAACTTTCCAAGAATGAATAAAGACTGTGCCCAGAGGAATGGGCATTGTCCTAGTGGTATTCTATCCTGACTTCCAGGTTCTTCGTATTCTGCTGGTACAAACTCAGCAGGTACCGAATACAATTCAGGGACCAGTCGTAAACCTTCATCAGTTCTGATCATAATCTGCAATGATCAACAATGAGATCGAGACCATTTGTCTGTATAGTGACAATAAATATATAGGTTGTTTATCGAATCGTTACACTTAGGAGGGAAAGGATGGCATTTGGCAACATTGCCAGCTACGGAGAATAGCGGTTATTTCACTGTAGGTGGCGGAAACGGAGACTAGAGGAGATGTGCGATAGCCGCATAGTCTCTTGCGATGTTGCTATCCAAATGTCCTATATGTAACGATTCGGTAAACGACCTGTATAACAATACAGGGTGAGTCATGTGGAACTGTCCATACTCCTACCACGCATAGAGGCCCTTGAGGGGAATGTCTAATGACTATCATAAAGTGTCTTCTTCTCTTCTTTACCAATATATAGGGTGAATTATGAGATTTGGCAGAAACATCTTTTGGGCATAACTTTTCAACAGGTTTTTCGATTCGTCTAATTCTTTTATGAAATATTCCTTTACTGAACCCTAATCGACTGACATTTCCAGAATCCCAAGAATCCAGGACCGTTTTTATCAAAAAGTTCATCCTGTATATGGTTTTTGTGAACTGTGACAGGACAGGAAATTTTCAAACAAGCATCAGAAATGAAATATTCAAAATTCTCCGCACACTTTCACTGAATTTTTCCAAAAACGATAAATTTTAAGCAAAAACGAAAGTTTGACAACAAATTTATTCTTTCGAAAATAACTACTTCGCAAAGCATAAATTGCGTAAAGAAAAGTAAGACTCACATTTTCAATGCTTCAGCCCAATGGAAATCAACATGTTCTTTCATTTTCAGGCCTGGATTTCGTCTTTTCATTTTTTGTATAGGGTAATAATCACCCTGTAGATCTTTTTCGAATCAGTGGATAGGGTATCTGTTAAGATGTTAATGGCCATCGATTCAAATAATTCAAGATAGTCGAACAGAAAATAAAGGTAAATTCACAATTATTTCTCAAAAGCTATACTGACAAAGGATAGTAATTCTAGTACGCAAAATGAGTGACCAAATTAACTAAATAAAACAAATCGAATAGATAAAACTGTGAATTGAAATCCTGAAACTATTTATAGCGATGGCCATCAACATTTTCACAGATACCCCATCCACTGATTCGAAAAAGATCTACAGGGTGATTATTATCCTCCACAAAAAAAATTAATTACTTAATCCAGGCCTGAAGATATATTAATTTCCATCGAGCTGAAGCTTTGAAAATGAGTGTCTCACTTTTATTCGCAAAATTAATGGGTTGGGAAGTATTAATTTCCAAATAATTTTCGGTGTTTCATAAAATTCATAGTTTCTTCCAAACTGAAGTGAGTGTGAGGAAAATTTGAGATATTTTATTTCTGTTTGTTGTGACCTTTGAGAATTCCTTGTCACAGTTTACAAGAAACAATATACAGGATGAACTTTATGCTATTAACTAAACTATCAAAATTTTCCAATAACGGTCCTGGATTTTACCGATTTTGAATAAGTCAGTCGATTAGAGAATAGTAGAGGAATATTCTATGAAAAAATCAGACAAATCGATGATGCTGTTCGAAACTTATGACCAAAATATGTTTTCGCCAAATCTCATAATTCACCCTATATATTGGAAAATAAGTGATGAAGAAACTTTCTGATGGACATTAGGTATTTCTCTCAGGGGCCTCTATTCGCGGTTGGAGTATGTAGAGCTCCTCATACTCACCCTGTATATTAAGTATTCATTACCGAAAAAATACAATTATAAAAACAAAACACATTCATAATGACGTTGAAGGTATTTCTCTCATGGGAATGAATATGTTATAAACATTTGTATATTAATCACAATAAACAAATGAAAAATTCATTTTTTTTTAGACAATTATAATTATGTTTTTGTATACAGGAATCATGAAGGAAATGTGAAGCTCTTGAAAAATGCGATAAAAAATCATATCATATCAACTGCAAAACCATAGAAATAGTTATTTATTATACAAGGGAAAAAAGTAGTAGATTTTAGCTCCAGGTTGTGTTGTCTCCCGACGCGTAGCGGAGGGAGACAAAAAACCGTGAGCTAAAATCTAATATTTTTCCCGTGTATAATACACTATTTTTTTCTGTGACAGAAGGAAGGACGAATCAATATTGGGAAGATATTACATTATTTCGAAATCTGAAAATTATCGACGTGAAATTTCAAGTTTTTAACAGTAGGGACACCTGCGTTTTATAGACATCTTTATCATTCTTTTGAAGTAATCAAATATCTGATGTCACTTCTGTCAGTTCAATTCTGTGATTTGATTTCAAAAAATTGCGAATTCAGTAGTTGTTTAGTAATATACGAAACCGCGAAGTCGAATGGAAGATAAAAGGACTTGCAGTTCTTTCTCGGAGACGGTATTATTGACTTATATTTCGGATCTATAGCACCACAAAAGCCATTAACAGAGTATATATATGTGATATATATCCGGGAAAGAAGTACTCACTTTTTTCCCACGGGAAAAAAGTAATTTATGAAAAGTGACATTTTATAACCTGCCAACAGAGATGAAATGCCAAACTTTTTTCCCGTCACAGAAAAAAGATATTTTTTTTAGTTTTGAACTTACATTTTCCAGTTGTCGGGTATAGTTAGCAGCAAGTTCTTTGTTTCCTTTGAAACAGTGGTCTAAAATCAAATAACAGAAGAATAGTGGCCATTCACATTCAATATTTTCAAACATCCTCAATTCCCATGGTTCATAATATAATCGACTTGGATCCTGAAAAAATCGCAAATCAACAATAAATTATATAATCTGTGGTGTATCAAACGATGAATGATGATGAATTAAGTTTTGAAAAAGTTCCATTTCCTATTTATTTGAAAATTTAAAGAAAATTCCAGAGAAAGGATGAAATTTGAAAGACCTATCAAAAGGATTCCTGATTGAGGATAAATCAAAATTTTGGCATGTTTCATGAAAAATCTAAAAAGTGCTTTATCTATTTGCTAGTTTATATCGTTTCTTGATAAAATTTCGATCGATGGTGTCACAGTATCGCCATTTTGAAAAGACATGTCCATTTGTGATATGTCAATAAAAAAGGAATTTTTACTTTATCGAATATCAAGATTTTTGGTCTATTTCAGGTAAAACTGGAAGTGATACCCAATTGTTTTTTCATGTAAAATATGGGCTTCAAGAAAAAAAATCCTCAATCAAGATGTCAAAAGTTCAACATAAAAACGACATAAAAACAACTGCATGAAGTCCTGGCCAATGATTTCCTTGTCACCCAGTATATTGCATCAAGTACCAACCTCTTTAGGTGTCCTGTATCCATCTCTCAAAAATCTCTTGCAGCCGAAACGGCCCTCCAATTTATCTATAATACAATCCCTTGTATAAGTAATCAATTCAGGATCATCTACAGCAAAGGCAGGAAAGCCAATAACTGGCAATATCCCACTGTCGATTTCTTTGGAACTAGATTCCCTGGGTAACATTGACTAAAAGAGAACTAGACTTACCAAATACAACAATTTGAAGATGTATAAAAATTTTTCAACACTTTCAATCTAAATATTCATGAAATACTAAAGTGAATAGTTAAGCCTGATAGTCATTGATTCTTCATTAAAATTAACTTCCACAGAGATGTATACGAAGTGAGGAAAATATACCTAGACATGCATGATTTTCCTCTATTATTATAGGGATTTCCTTTCATGAGCTCCAAGATATGAAAAAAAAAAAATTAAGGACTTCAAGTAAAAAGTAGAACGCCTTACAAAATGAGTTGACCGATTCTATTCAGTTTGAAGATGTATAAAAATTTTTCAACACTTTCAATCTAAATGTTCATGAAATACTAAAGTGAATAGTTAAGCCTGATAGTCATTGATTCTTCATTAAAATTAACTTCCACAGAGATGTATACGAAGTGAGGAAAATATACCTAGACATGCATGATTTTCCTCTATTATTATAGGGATTTCCTTTCATGAGCTCCAAGATATGAAAAAAAATAAATTAAGGACTGCAAGTAAAAAGTAGAACGCCATACAAAATGAGTTGACCGATTCTATTCAAAATTTGTATTTGAGGGTTTTCGGGGTAAAAAATATGATTGTTTCGTCAAAATTGGGAAATTCAAGATGGCGGATCCAATATGTCGGACGAGTTTTGTAATTATGTTTCGATTCTACTCAGAATTGGTATCTGGGGTGGATTATGATTCTTTTCTAAGAATTGAAAAAATCCTGGAAATCAAGATGACGGATCCAATATGGCGGACGAGTTTTGTAATTATGATCCGATTCTTTTCAAAATTTGTATCTAAGGGTTTTCTAAGTCGGAAATTATGATTATTTCGTCAAATCTGGAAAATCTGATTCTATTCAAAATCTGAATCTAATAGTAGGAGAGTCTGGTTTCCACGAAAAGGCATATCCTGTGATGTTTAGAGAACATCGTAAGAACCAAGGGAAATAAGGTAGGAATTGTTGGATGAACGAGTCTTCGGAAAGAGATGTTCTGCAGGTCTCCAAAGTGACCACGAAGGGGTGCGAAGCCTCAACTCGACGAGTTAATCTCGCGGGGACTGCCAAGGGAGGAACAATTGTTGATATTTCAGAAGAACATCGTCCATGAAAATATCTATAAAATAGAGCCAGGTCGACAACTTTTCAACGGCGTTCCAGATGAGTGAGTGAGTTTGTGAGCGAGACATCACCCACGAGACGAATTGCCCTTTTTTGGACAGAATCCAACAGTTTCAGGGTATGTTTGGGTGCAGCACTCCAAATATGGGAACAGTATTCCAGACAGGTCGGATCTGTGCCTCATAGATCATAAGCAGCTGACTGGAAGTGGAATAGTTCCTGGCCCGAAACAGAAAACCAAGTTTTTGGGATGCACTTTTGGCAATCAATCTAACGTGATTTTCCCAAGAAAGGCTATTACTGATAGTAATACCAAGCATTGAAGTGGGTGTCTATAAAGGTATGGTTACTCCTGACAAGCTTATGTTGGACACAGTGAGATCGGGTTTTCTAGAGAAAAGGCATGCTTGTGTTTTTTTTGCATTGAAATCTACCAAGTTATTGGATCTTCATTCGAGAATTGTTGCCAAGGCCATATTTATTACGTACTTACTTCCGTCATGTGATAACGAGTTGAGACAAGAAGCAAAAGAAAAGGAAACATGTATCTCTTGCGACTACCCAAACGTGCCGCGATTCAAACTGATCTAAGTTAGTGACAGAGCGTCAATACTTCTCAAAATATTGCGCCCCCCTCTATAGAGGGCTCTTTTTCACATTTTAGGTTTTTTTTTCATCATCCGGTTTTCCTGGAAATGATTCTTAAATGGGACACCCTGTAGGTGTATTTTTTCCATAATCGGTTGGGGATTATCATAACGAATTTAACGATAACGAGATTGAGAATTCTGATCAACCTGAATCTGTTCCAATTAAATGACAGTAAATAGTAAAGCAGTGTCAGTTGTTGCTGGAAATATTTCAGAATGATGTACTCCTCGGAAATATAGCTGACGTGATACAGCGTTTTTATATAATCCGGTTCTGTAAACCTAAAGATCCGCTGTTTAATTTCCCCTGCCCCACCCTGTATATTCTCAAATGTGATTTGATGTGGTTTTTTAAACGAAATTTGTTTGCCTGTATGTCACTTTGGTGAATTGTTTCTCGACTTGTATGTGAGAATCGTTCGATCTCTCCACTACATACTGTCCGGTTGAATTCTTTAATATCACGAGAGATTTTTGTACAAGATTTATTTTCAGCCTGTGGTGAATTCTTTCAAAATATTTCGGGAGATTTAAAAAAAAAACACCACTCACTGTGTTCAATTCTTCATCTGGTATTTCGTATACTATACAGGGTGTTTTATACATATAAAATATTATACAAAGTGTTACGAACTTTGAGTATTATGGTTGAATGGAAGAGCAGCTGTCGATTCATCGGCGAGTTGAACTCTGCCTTTTGTTTCATTGGGGCAATAAAGGCATTTATTATTAGTAATATTATTATTATATTTCCGTTTGGTCGAACATTTCATCTGATTGTACGATTTTCATAGATATTGAACAAGTAATGGGATACAAATTGTTTGGCAGAATTTTGAAAACAAGTTTCTGTAACATACAACTTCGTATTTATTACAGCGATGATTTCTTCAAAAATGTAACACTTTGTATAACAGAAAATATGTTTGAATATTTTCAGAATCACATCACATACAACCCAGATATACATCGTGAACCCTGTATATATTCCCCCCTCCCCGGATAATTTCATTATCATCATTAGTCATAGACTCGGTCATAGATGAATCATTTGTTCAGAAATTAATCGGTTAGCAGCATGATTCAACATATTAATCGTTCATTCGGGATCAGTGGTTAATCAAGACAGTATCATATTAGATGTCATCACGTACGGTAGAATTTTGTAACAGGCATTGAAAAATACGCGAAAGGAATAATTAATAATCAATCCAAACAGAGTGTTCACTAAAAAATGAGTGATAGTATCGTGTTTTTGTGTTTCTCATTCAAATCAGTGATTACATAATAGCGATCGTGAGTTGTGTTGGTGTTTCCAGCTTCAGAAAATAAAAAATTTCAAACAATGAAATAGCAGAAGAGGACTATTTTATACAAATTCATTTTGTTTTCACACTGGTGAGTGTTATTTTCATTATTTTATTATGAGTGATATAATGACACAGAGTCATGGTATAGCCTCATTTCTCCTTTCTTTTCCTAGCTATATTCCTGAAATTCGAAAAATCTAATATGCTCACTATTATTATTTCATCGTCCAGTTTCCCTGTTTTCACGATGAGCGTTAATTAGACGAATCTTAAAATCTTATCATATGTATGAATTTACATGATCTACACGTCTAATATATTTTTAACGATGCGGCGTTGCCGCTTCTTCTAGAAAGTAGCAGCAACTTCGAATTTTCAAATGGAACACCCTGTATTGCAATTTTATATTCTCCTTGAAGATCTTATTTCAACAATGCATTACTCTTGGGGTCTAGCGGGGATGATTACAGAGATATAGAATGTTCAAAATCGAGATTCCTCAATTTAGGGATTCTTTTGTGTCAAAACGGCTTCCATGTCCCTATCTCAATTCTTGATTCACTATTTACTGACATTCAATTGGAACAGATACAGGGTGATCAGAATTCTGAATCTTAAAGCACCCTGTATTTTTTCCAATTAAATGTCAGTGAATAGTAGATCAATAGTTATAAACGGAACACAGAAGCCTCGATAATGAATAGTTTCGACACAAAAATATCCTAATATTGAAAAGTCTCTATTTTGAACACCCTATATCTTTTTAATCACCCCTGCTAGACTCCAAGTGCGATACATTGATGAAATCTAATCTTCAGGGATAATCTGAAAATGCAATGGAATACAGGGGGTGAAAAATCATAGTTGCTGCTATTTCCTAGTAGAAGCGACAACGCGGCATCGATTAAAATATTGTATACGTTTAGATCATGCCAATGTATACATACCATCAAATTTTCATATTGATATTTTGCTTGGTTTGCCAGAAACGTCTGATTAACCCTCATAGTGAAAAACCCTGTACATATTTCTCCCCCGTATAATTTCATCATGATCATTAGTCATAGAGATGAATCGTTTGTTCGGAAATTAATCGGTTAGCAGCATGATTCAACCTATAAGACATTCATTCGGGACTAGTGGTGAATCTAGACGGTCCCATATTAGATGTCATCACGTACAGTCGAACTTCGTGATAGGCATTGCAAAATACACGGAAGGAATTGATTATCCTCGTAATTGTCATTCCCAACGGATTGTTTACTAGGAAATGAGCTCGGAAATGAGTATAAAGTGCTTTCCCAAAGTACTCAATACATTCTTTTTCCGTCGACCCCTACAAAAAATCATTTTACGTTCTAATTTCCGAACGAAAAACCGATTTTTTCCGAGGCCAAGTATTTTTCGTCCGCAGACACTAACTTTTCGTCCGCAAACAATATTTGTCCGCTGCAGGGTTGCCAGTTCTACTGAATTTTCAGTAAATTTCCTGATTTGCATATTTGATCTACTGATCTACTGGAACATTTCATAACCTACTGATAAATATTTTGACACTTGTTTATTATTATAATTATCTATATTAATATTAATTGTTAGTTATCACACATACTTATAAATTGCATGATATTTCGGCAGGCTCTGTTTGAATTGATTTCACAAAATAAGTAATAAATGTACATATAGGTACTAATGATAAATATGTATAAAACAGAAAAGGAAAATACCTCATCTGATTCAGATCAAATTCAATTATTTATATACCTTTGTTATAACAGTTTGCTTTCTTACGTTTATTATTTTTTTTTTCGTATTCTTCTTTTTCATTTTCACTATACGTTCCTATTTTTCATATAGGTACTTTGCAGATAGGTATATAAGGTAT